CAGGAACAACTTGAATTTAGCTCTGTGTACCCGCTGAGGCATGATATTTGGGCTATGTGGACGAAGTGTTACTGAAGAATTGCTTGCTTTGTTAGAAAAGATTATAAAAGAAACATGCAAATAAACCTCAGCATGCAGTTGCAATTGCTGCCTTGGCTCTGCATCCCCTGTGTCCCGGTGATTTAGCGACCCTTACCCAGGGACCCGAACGCACTAGACGTTCACAGTATAGCAACTCAGGGTAAGCAAAAGGTAAAACCCCCACAAATCTTTAAATAATGACAGGAATCTATAGTAGTTACCCTACTATAAAATGAGGTGATTGAATTAGATATTAAGCAAATTTCCTCACCTAAGATATGAAGAAATAATATTCAATAACTAAATAAACTTAATACTTTTAACATTAAAATATGCAATAAACACTCAGATATATGTATTAACATTAAAATATGCAATAAAACAATCAAATGCAGTTAGCTACATTTTAAAATTTATTTTTATTTTAATTTTTTGTGCAGTGCTGGGAAGCCAACTCACTCAGGGCCTTGAGTACGCTAGGCAAGCACTCTACTACTGGTCTATATCCCTAGGCTGTTAATTAGCTTGATGTACAAATATGCAACTAGTTTCACTTGACTAATTTAAAGATAATAATTTCTTTTAAAAAGGTGATGTAAATCAGTGGTAGAATGCTTGCATAGAAAGAGAGAGTACCTTGAGTTTGATCTCCAGTATCCTCCCCCCAAACACACACACAAAGTGAAAGAGCACCTTTAATGGCTGAAGTTTGCTGCTAGAAATACTCATATTTAGCTTATTTGTTGTAAGACCAATTATTTGCTTTGTTATCAACCAGGGTGACCTTGTTTACCAAATATAAGTGCTAGAAAAGGGCAGCACCTCTTGAAGGAGTTTTAAGACTTAAAAAGAGAACAGTATTTTATATGTTGTGTACCTTAGTGACAAATTTATAGCTCTTTTGTCAACTAAGTAATTCGTTTGATAAAGAAACTTATCACTTATTTAAATTAGTAAATTATTTATTTTTATTTATTTTTTTAAAGAGAGAGAGAATTTTTTAATATTTATTTATTTATTTTTTTTTAGTTTTCGGTGGACACAACATCCCTTTTTTGTATGTGGTGCTGAGGATCGAACCCGGCCGCACCCATGCCAGGCGAGCGCTCTACCGCCTGAGCCACATCCCTAGCCCAAGTAAATTATTTAAAGAAAACCAAAAAAAAAAAAAAAAGGTTAGATTGACAGGGAATTGTCATAAATTAGCTGGGTATCCCTTACTTGACAGAGAAGTTACAATTGGGTATCACTTACTTGGGTGGCAATCATTCATCATATTTGGTTTATTCACCTGGTGCCTGAAGACATTCAAGATCTGTAATCCCAGTTAGAGATTACCAATTGCAATAACAGTTATTGTTCCTGCAGTTGTTTCAACAGCACAATTGTTTTATTGCTACAGGTATTAAGTTTTGAAATCTACACATGATGCATTACCTGGAGCTTTTATTTATCCACCACGACAAGTACCCAGCTCTACATTCCCACTGCCTTTAGAACCTCTCATTGGTGATTTTGATGAAACAAACAAAAAAGCCACAAGTTCCTTTACTTCTCTAAGCACACAGAGTGACCTACAAAGTCTGGGGTGACAGGATGTAGACAGTGTGGGGGGCTGGTCCCAAAAAGACAGGAGGGAGCAGAGAGTGGTCTCTTTGGTCCTGGAATTATGGGACGCAGCAGGGACCTGATCAAGGTGAGGAAAGGGAATGGGAACCTGGCTGAGGGTGACCTGACAGGGTGAGGGGTCACGGGACAGGGCGGGAATGGAACTGGGCATAACACAACTGAGGACGAGACAGGAGCTCAAGGGACCGAGTTGAGATGACGAGGTGGAGCTGGGAGTGGGTCCGGGAGTGACAGGACAAAGCGGGGAGCAGGTCTCCGGAGAACAGACCATGCGGAGGGCAGGTCCGAGAGTTACAGGATGGATTGGCGAGCCGGGGGCGGGCCCAGGAATTACGAGACGAATCGGGGAGCGAGTTCTGGGCGACTAAATAGTCCGTTAAGCGGGTCCTTGAGCTACAGGACGGAGCGGGGAGAAGGTGCAAGAGTCATAGAACAAAGCGCGGAGCGCGTCTGAGTCACCGGACCAAGCGGGGAGCGGCCTGGAGTGGGGAGACTGCCGATACTCGCCCGGGTTCCAGACACCGTGTCCAGCTCCCCCCTCGCCCAAGGCGAGCCTTACGATCGATGCAGGAGGTCAAGCTCCGGTGGCCGCTGATGGGGGACGGGAGACTACAACGCAACCGGCCGAAGCGCACCCCGAGGTTCCGGTATCCGCACCACATCGCCACTGCTCTTGCCTTAGCCAGAGCCAGTGAGCCCTAGAGCTCCACGACGTTCTTTTCAGTAAGGATCTGCAGCAGGCGGCCTCTGCCCCCACTGCACCCTGGGAGTTGTAGTCCCTCAGAAGCCTTCGCAGCCGTGGTGTCAAACAGAAAGACAGGCAACTGAACTACAACTCCCATAAATGCTTGGGGCCTCGGCGCAACGTTGGTGTGTCCGCCACAAAGCCCCTGGGAGGCCCTGGGGGTCTGGGGCACCTGGCCGTCCATTTTGCGGAGCTTGGGGTTGGTGTTGTGAAAGAATAGTTAAGGGGATAAAGCAGGGCTCAAGGGAATGCTTGGGAAGAGTTTAACGGCAGGCTATTCGAGATGGAAATGGCACAGTTAACGGAGGGAAGGATATGAAACCCTTAAACACAATTATCTGCTCTTAGCAAAGTTGGAGACTCTGGACTTCCTCGCGACGTCTCCATCTTGCTCTGCGCGGGTTTTGAAGGGCAGTGGAGTTCCTTTTTGAATCTCCCTTTTGATTTCAGAACCCTCTTCATTTCAGCCCCCTGCAGAGAGAGACCATGCCGAGACCCCGGAAGAGACCAGCTGGGGCTGCTGGCCCAGGTGAGCTGCACTGAGCCTGCAAAGAGGCGACCCCCAAAAGAGTGTTTCTCTAGGGCCAGCTTAATACCGTTCATATTCTTTCCTGCTTGTGGAGAGAAGCCTTTGAGACTTGTCTGTTATCCCATCATCCCTTATCACCTTTCATCTTCTTTATTTTTCCCACCAAGGTTCTACCCAACGCCCTTTCAGCTTGCTTGTTCATCCAGTTAACTAAGGATGTTTGCGTTATGGGTGGCATGCGCTGGGGTAAAGAATATAATTCTTTTGCGACAACATGGATGGAACTGGATATCATTAAGTAAAAGAAAAGTACGATATGTGGGATCTCAAAAAGCTTTTCTCGTAGAAGTTGACAGTAGAACAGTGCTTACCAGAAACCGGAAAGTTGGGGAGAGGTTGATCAGTGGGTTCTAATTTAAAGTAGGATTAAGAACATCTAGTGTGCTATTACACAGTAGGGTGACTATAGATAAGGATGATATACTGTACACTTCAAAAAGTGGGAATAAAGGATTTTGAACGTTTTGACCAAAAAGAAATGATGTTTGAGGAGACATATGTTTAACCCAATTTAAATATTACATGTATACGTGTATCAAAACATCACATGGAACACCATTGATGTGTACATGTTTTATGCCTCAAGTTAAAATTTTAAATTTTAAAATTTAAAGATTTTTAAGGGTAAACGCAAACAGGTGTAAGTGAAAGGGCCTGGAAGACTGAATTATTGGAGGTATGAGAAGAGCCAGGAATACTAGGGAAAGCCTTGGGAAGGAAGTGGAATTTGAGTCCAGCCTTAAAGAACAGGAAGGCTTTCTACAGGCAAAGTTTTAGTACCCAGAAAATGTGATGTCACTTCTGTATTCACAGAGATGAATGGCATGCTAAGTGGATGAAAGGCAGAAATAAAGCAGTGGAAGGTGACTCTTAGGAATGGCAAGAGTTCCAGATTGACTAAAATACATAGTTGTTTAATAACACATGGTGTTTGCAGTGTGCTTGTTAACTCTTAAGGACTGCTGAGAAGTTGGGCAAGGAAGGTATGTTGAGTCCAGACATCCATAAATGATATTTAATCTTTTAACCTCACATGTTGAAACTTTTACTAAACTTGGAGACAGTACAGTACAGTCAGTCATTAAGCATAGATTCAGACAGCCAGAGTGGTAGGCCCTGACCTTGTATCTTGGTTCTGTCATAACTGAATTGTGATCTGGAGCACATTTTCCAGTTGAAGAATAGAATATCTCACACATTATGTAGATTAACTGAGTTAGGGTTAGAGTAACATGTATAGCTTGGGGCCTTGGATAGAGATTTTGGGGTGGGTGGGTACCGGGATTGAACTAAGGGGTACTCAGCCACTGAGCCACATCCCCAGCCTCTATTTTGTATTTTATCTAGAGATAGGGTGTCACTGAGTTGCTTAGTGCTTCACTTTTTGGTGAGACTGGCTTTGAACCTGCAGTCCTCTTGTCTCAGCCTCCAAAGCCTCTAGGATTACAGGTGTGCACCACCAAGTCTAGCTAGGGGCCTCGGATATAGTATGAACTTAACAACTATTAGTTTTGAGGACTCACTGTATCCCAGGCACATTTTCTCTAATTCTCTTAGAACAAAATCCAGTCTTTACGGATGTCTTTAAGGACCCAGATGAATCATTTTTTTTCCAGTTTTTCTTGGCATCTTGAAGAGCAAAAAGGCAAGCATAAAGTACAGTGAGCAAGAGGGAAAGATGAATGAAATGATGACAATAATGGATATTTATTGAGCATTTATTATAATGCCAGGAATTTTCTAAGCTTTTTGGCTGTTTCCTCACTGGAAAGAGTAGCCAGAGTAAAGGCACAGAAGAGACAGAGAGGGAAGGAGACATTTATTGACTGCTACTAGGACCCATTAGTCTTAATCCTCTAAGGTGTTTTTTTCTCACTGAATCATAATCCAGAATATATCCTGAAAGACAGGTATTCTTTTCCAGTTTTTATAGATAAACTGAAGTTTTTTTCTGTATAACACTAGATGCTACAGCTAGTTTTTGCAGGATCCAGGATTTGGGTAGACTGCACCATAGAACATTACCACTCATTAAGCATTGATAGTTCTTTGCTTTTTGTTTCTCCTGTAGAAAAGAAGGGGCAATCAGAAAAACGTACCAAATTTGAGAACTCAGGTGAGGCATCAGCAAAAGTGGAGAACTCCAGCCCTCAAAAGACTTCAGTCTTTAAAAACTGTGGGAGGAATCTAAGCAACTACTGGCTGATGAAATCAGAGCCAGAGAGCCGACTAGACAAAGGTATAGATGTGAAGGTGAGATTGTGTACCTTTGTCCTATCTCATTATGCTGTTTTAAAAATGAAAGGTTATTATGGGATACCATTGGGTTCCATCACCAGCATCTCATCTTCAAAGAGTAAGAAAGGCAAAATATGAATAAAATCAACAGAATTTATTACCATCAAGTACAGATTGAGTATCCCTTATCTGAAATGCTTCAAATCAAAGGTGTTTCTGATTTTGGAGTTTTTGGATTGTGGAATATTTGTTTAGACTTTACAGATTGAACATCCTTAATCCAAAACATAATCTTAAATCCAAAATGCTCCAAAGTCCAAAACATTCATATTTTTTAATTAGGCATGTTTAGCCTATATCTGTTTAATTGTTCGATGAATCCTCTATGTAGTCAGGGGCTAGCAGACTTTCTGCAAAGGGCCAGACAATAAATACTGTAGACTACTGTGTCTTATATTCTTTCATTTCTGCCCTCGTAGCAAGTAAGTGCTAATAGCACATAAACAAACAGATTTGGTTCCTATAATACTTTATTTATAAAAGGAGGTATGGGACTAGATTTGGCCTAAAGGTTGTAATTTGCCAACCTCAATCTTAGCTTGCTTTATTCTTACCACTTGCCATGCTCCTAGGTGTCTCCCTGCCAGCAGTTGGTATATATTCAAGGAATGAATATAAACCCATTTTGATAGCCTGGAGAAAATGTAAATAGAAATATTATAGAAGAAATACATAATACTTTAATAAGTAAAATGTAGAGAACCAACAGATTACTTTAGCATCTGGATTATGCATTCAGCTGGTCCTTTTAATTAGAAGAGATAACAGTATAACACAAGGCTTACCTATATTCACTCATCATCAGTGGCTCTGTGATGAACTTACATATTTCCATTATAGCCTGTAGCACCTCTAAATGTTGGGAAGGGACTGTCTATTTCCAAATATGCCTATTAACTGGCCAAGGATTGTTTAGTGAATGCTTATTTTCTCTTACCTAGTTTAGCATTGAGGATCTCAAAGCACAGCCCATGCAGACAGCATGCTGGGATGGTGTTCGTAACTACCAGGTAAGAGGACAGATAAAAGGCAGGAATTCTGAGACCTAGGGCAGGATAAATGCCTGCCTGGTTCTTGTGACTTGTTCAGCTGTAGAACCTTTTGGCCAAAGTTGTTTTTCCCAGAATACTTAAATCCTTACCTGAAAGTGTTTTCAGAAATATGTGAATTACTCTGACTTTATGAAATCTATAAATGGCCTGGTTCTAACCAGTGTCCTGGTATAAATCTGGGAGTCTCGGCAAAGGGGACAGACTTATGAATTGAGGGGAAATTAAAAACAGAAAAGCCCTACTAATGAAAGTAGACTTAATTTCTGTTTAAAGCTAGTACTTCCCACTGGTGGGAAGGATAATCCTTATTTCTTCTCTCCTGGGACAGGCACGAAACTTCCTTAGAGCCATGAAGCTGGAGGAAGAAGCCTTCTTCTACCATAGCAACTGCAAAGAACCAGGCATTGTAGGACTTATGAAGGTTAGATGGACAGGTTTTAGTCTAAATTTCTCTCCCTACTGAGTGTCTTATTCATGTATATTTAAAGTGATATATCATAAATTGGTAATATTAAAGACCAGAGTCAGAAGAACAGAGAGAAAACTGCTGTGGCCCCTTTCTATATGATAAGGACTAGAAAAAGGTAGGCCTTCATTTAAGGCCCATTAGCATGCATTTTTCTGCATCTCTAATCCTTGGTTTCTCACTCAGAAACAAGCCTGATAGCTCTTTCAGGATAAAAAAGCTATCAGGATAAAATCATTGACTCTGCATTTGGTGGGGTGGGTGGAAGTACCAATGATAAACATTACCATTGAGTTTTAGAATATGCTTCTAAAATTTTATACTTAAAAAATAGTTGATTTCCTAACTGTACTTCTTTAGGCTATGTATTATTTCTAGATATTTGAATCCTGATTGATGAGAGCAAGGCAGATGGAGTAAGAATATGTAGGGTAAGAAGTCAAAGTTAGATATGTATTAAAGATTGGCCATGGAGCTGACCAGGCAGGCAAATAATTGGAGACTTTGGGTTTGGTTTCAGATTGTAAAGGAGGCTTACCCAGACCATACACAGTTTGAGAAAAACAGTCCCTATTATGATCCATCCAGCAAAGAGGACAACCCCAAATGGTCCATGGTAAAGACAATTCTTCCTGTATCATGAGAGGGGAATGATGGACAAAGGAAGGAGGAAGGTGTGTGGTGCTATTAGGTCAAGCTCTTATTCAGATGAGATTACACTGACTTTTGGAGGTTAGAGCAGAACATTAGCAGCGCTGCCAATGGGAGCCTCACGCAAGCAGTAAAAACAGTGGGTGGGCATAATGGCATGGGTGTGACTATATGCTCAGCTGATGGAGAAACTGAGGCAGGAGGATTGCTTGAGTCTAGGATTTCAAGCCCAACCTGGGATATATAGTGAAACCCATCTCTTAAAAAAAAAAAAAAAAATGCAGTGGGCAGAGTTTGGATAACCATATCTTTCTGTTCAATAAACTGTTGTCACCTAGGTAGATGTACAGTTTATTCGAATGATGAAGCGTTTCATCTCCCTGGCTGAGCTTAAAACCTATCACCAATCTCACAAGGCTACTGGTGGCCCCTTAAAAGATATGGCTCTTTTCACTCGCAAGAGGCTCTCAGTCCAGCCCCTGACCCAAGGTAAGAGTGGGCCCTTTCCCTTACCCATATAGCAGAAATGACCTCACAAATTCACATTTACTAACTGATTAAACTTGGGCACAGTATTAAACCTCTAAGTCACTGCCCTCACCTGTGGCACCAAGGGAGGGACTATGTCCTGAGTTACCCATAACTATGTATCTAGTATCCAACAGTGCTTGGCATTGGTAAGACACTCCATAGTTTTTGAATGCCTATTTTGGCAACATATAAATTACTTATCAGTGATGGGTATTAACTTCCCTGTTCAAGAGAGAAGGGACATGAAACCTAATTCTTCCTTTTTGTTCTTTTTGGTAGAAGAGTTTGATTTTATTTTGAATCTGGAGGAAAAGGAACCAAGTTAACTGAAACAGTATTGCTGGAATGGACAAACCATTACTCTAAAGATGGCGAGGTTTTATTAGACAAAGGATGGTGTGTGAAGGCTTGTGTGTGCATTTACCTGAGATCATGTACACAGATTTTTTTTTCCCCCTACTTCTTTCAATAAAACATTTAATGTCAAATTTGGAAAGCTTTTCTTCTAAAACTTAAGTGGGTATAGTGGAATACACCACTGCAGAAGATCTCTTACTTCCATGCTATCTCCCTTTGTCACTTGGAAGACCCAAGGCACATCTACCATCTGCCTTTATTGTTGTGCATAGTTATATAGCAGATAGCAGGATTTAGGGCTGAGTCCCTTGGTCAGTTACACCCTCTAAAACGTGGGGTTTCACAATACCAACCTTCTTCGCCTGCCTCTTTTAAGTGCTCTGGGTCCTACAGCAGTTCTTAACCAAGAACTTATTCTAAAGTAGGTGGTTAGTAAAGTGCTCAGCATTGCTCACTAGGGGTTCTATTCTGAGAAGATGCTGTATTGGAATTAGGGTGGACATCTACCTTTCCTGAAGATAGGAGTTGGGCAGTGTAAGACAGAAAAGACCACAGAACCTGGTGGACCTTGGGCACAATGCCTCCAAAGCCACAGGGGCTTCCTTTAATTAGACCATTAAAACAAGTGTTCTTTTAAAATACAGCCATTGAAAAGACAACACATTAAGAAACATGTAAACACTGCAGCTTCTTAATTACAAGTTGCACTGCTTGGTTTAGTACCTATGCACTCCCAGGTTTGGGGACCTTAAAGGAGGGGGACAGGAGACCCCTCACTTTCACAAATGGCAGAGAATAGAGAATGGGGGAAAAGACAGAGAAAATAAGACCTGGCTTGTGCACAGCTCCTGAGAGAAAGCAAATTCTATCTTCTAATTCTCCCAGAAGGAAGGTTGAAGATGTTAGGAAAAGTTGGGAAATGAATTTGTGTCATCAGTTGGGAAGCAGAGGAATTGACAAGTGCTTTTTAATTAGAATACCAGCTATTAAAGGGAGGCACACCAGAGCCCAATCTCATACTCTGAAAAAGGCAAGAGCACAGAATCTGCCTCTCTGCTTAAGCCTCAACCTTGACAATCCAAGGGCAGCTGGATGGGAATGCTGTTCACATGGGGATTGTATGTCGCACCTGAACTCAGGGTCTGGCATGGGGGAAACAAATTTGCCTTCTTTGATTCTGCTGCCACCTGTCAACCACATGTCATCCCAAATGTCTTCCCCTCATCTCAACTCTGATCCATGGGCCCTGCCCAGTCAAGGCCTAAGATTGCACATATTTCTGAAAAAAACAAGGATTCCCCTTTTTCTGCACTAACTGAAACATGAGATAGGAACGAAATTCTCTACTGTCCAAATAACAAAGAACTCAGGCCACCAAATATTGACCAATGGGATCTGGTTGGTCTTTCTGTAAAGGGAAGGGAAGCCAACAGAAGAGTAATTCCTGGTCATCCCCAGTGAGGCAGAAAAGACAGTGACTATTTTAACTACTATAGGCCGAAGCATAGAGCAACAGGAAAATCTGCCCCTTTCTTTAGCATAACTACATCCACCAGAGTTTTTAATATTTGTGTTTTTAAACAAACAAACAAAAAAAAAACCAGTGATCCTAAACTTAGGTCAGTGAACTGGTGATGACAAAGATGTAACTTGGCAAGCAAATTACTGAAGTTTGTGGCATCAGAGTCTGCTATTGGGGCCCTCATCTCCCTTATCTTGTAGGTGATGAGGAGTGAAGGATCTTGGGGTGAAAGTAAGAACAAAATTTCAAAGTGTTTGAAATCAAGCCCCAATTCTTAGAAGTTGGATAGAGACAAGGAGTGATGAGGGTCCACTGTTAGAGAGCAAAAAGGATCCTGGCCCCTTTCCAGGATATCTTCTTAAAGAAAATGGACTCTCTTGCTTAGGGCTTGTTAGGGCACATAGAAGAATGTGTCTAGAACAACCCAGACCTCAGGGTTGCCAAGCACAGTCACATGGTGAAAGCAGACAATTGCCATTGCCTTGACCCTTCCTCAGTAGGCCTGGCTCAGCCTCTTGGCCATCCATGCATGACATTAACCTCTGAGCTTTTTTGCGCACAGGTATTTCTCACTGGTGAGGGACAGATGACCCCAGGCACTTCCACAGGTTTCTGTCCCAGAACATTCCTACTAGCCAGAGAAGATGCAGAAAGGAGGTGTCTGGTGCCAGCAGTGAAAGGCCAGAGAGAAGGTGGCATGTGGAAACCTCAGAGCACCACATCCAAGACGCCCAAAGAGGTAGCTTCCTGATCTACCCCCAACCCTACCCTTTAGATGGGACAGGCCCAAATCCTCCTCCCACTACCTCAGGGACAGCCAAGGGGAGTATAAGAAAAATGACTACCCAGGGCCTTGCTGGCAGATTTGAATTCCAGGGACATGTTCAGATCCTGTATCAGGAAGCCCAGAGAACTAGAAGCCAAGGACACGCTTTCAGCTCTATGATAAGAGGCAGCCCATGAGGAAGGCCTCAGCAGACAACTTATTCCCCAGGGAGAGATTAGCTTCCAGGATGCTCCTCTCCCTATCCCACATCAGCCACAGAATCCCAAGGAGACTGCTTTCTAACCCAAGCCCCTTAGGTCCTTCAGAGAAAAGAATTTAAGTCAAAAACATGAATTGTTTTCAGGTTGCAAGTAACGGTCAGCTGAGCCTCATACCATCTCCCCCTCCCCCAGCCGCTGGTGTTTGGTAGACGGGGGTGCTGGGGTGGAAGCCCAGCAGCTTCTTGGCCCAGAGGCCTACTGCCTACTGTTGTTGTCAGACAGCTGGCTGGGGGTCCGCACCTCACCCAGGGAGGTTGTACCCTCGAAGCGCTGTGAAGCGATGGCTGCCTGGTGGGACATGCTCTTCCGTACGATGTCACCCTTCCGCCACAACACCACTTCCTGCAGAATTGGGAGAGGGAGCAACTTGATACCTAATAGGAAGGCTCAGAGATGGGTTTCCCAGAGGCACCCACATTTGTCTTGGGGAATCTTGGGCAGGTACCTCCCATCCCTGGTATAGGTCAGAATAGTGTGGCAGTTGCAGGAGTCAGGCCTAAGAAAACATACTCTGGGTTTCAAGTAGGAACCGTCATTCCTGCTGTGTTATTCTGGGTAACTTAATATTTCCAGCTCTTGGAAAAATAACAAGTAGCATAGAGACTTAGCAGCTCTCTTACCATTTTGCTTAGTGTAAAATACAGATTCCTCCATGGAAATGATATCCTTTCTGTTTTGTCCCCAGGGTATCCAGGGCCCTGGTGGAAGCACCTCACCTGCTGCTTGAAGTAGCGCCGTTCCTCCTCATCTATCAGCACCAGGTTGAGGTAATAGCGCACAGAGAATTTCTTGTTAATGTCCCGCATAGTGGGTGTAAGCTCATACCCTGCCAGGAAAAGCCGGATCGGGATGGACTCTCCTGTAAAGGAGCAAAGTGAGGAATGAGGGCAAGGGACAAAGTGAACTACGCTGCCTTACATCAAATCCCTCTCTGACCACAGTAGGTGAGATGCCAGCTGAGCATGGCATGAACCCTAAGCAAATGCTTCTGCCTTTTGAGACTGCATTCTGCAGCCCAGCAGTTTGCTGAAGCAAAAATGTGACTCCAGTTTCATTTCAGTATTGCTGTGTCTTCTTAATATTCTCTCACCATTCTGATGCAGAAAACAGGGAGGAACAGTTGAATATGAAAGCCACAGGGATGTTATTGTTAAGCATATTTTGATTACAAGCAAAGTGCCTAGTTACTGGGTTTTCAAGAAGCAGTTATCAAACCCCAGCTGCTATGTCATTCAGCAATTATAATGCATCTCCCTCCATCTTGGTTACTATATGCCCTCAGAATACATCTCCACTCTAATGTGAATTGATAGCAGGTGGGGGTGGTCAGGAAAACAGGAAATTCTCATTCTAGACCCTGTTTTCCATTAGCCAGTTGTATGACTTTTGAGTAAATCTGTGGCTTTCTCTGGACCTTGATTTTCTCACATGAAACCTGAGAAAATCCAACTGCACAATATTTTAAAGCCCTTCTAGCTCTGATATTGTACCTTTCCTAGATAAAGAGAAACAAAATTAGATCAGAAATTCTACTGAAAAATGACAAACCCATAATATGAATGATCTTTGAGTTATCTGCTATTTTGTCTTATTTCCCAGTGCTCCAATTCATTTGTCAAGGAGAAATAATAGTTGGCTTTACTTGCAGAGCTGGTCCAAAACTGGAATATCAGGAAGAGAAAAACTGGGCCCCAACTCTTCAAGGGGCTGGAGCAATGACACCTGAATCTGCTGAGAAGTGTCCCCAGGGTTGTGGGCTGCTTAATCTGTGGCACACCTCCTTCCACATGAAATGGACTGTGGGAATACTCTGGATGAACTCTTGGAAGGAATGAAATAAAATCTTGGAAAGACCAAGCAAGCACTTCAAAATGAGAAGACACATTGATTGCTACAGAGTGAATGAAGAATACAAGTGATTGCTACTCCCAAATAATCACAGATTCCCAAATAAAGAAGAAATTCAATTCCACTAATCCTAGATGTAATTATCTCCATGGAGGTTGGGGGAGGACCATTTCTAGCTGGTTCCCAGTGCTATCTGTAGCACCTGGTAGTATGGGTTAGTGTGGTCTATAGTTCTCTTTCATACTTGGTGAATGGATTCAGAGAATAAATTGTTTTGTCAGAGATAGAGGCTGGTGATTTAGCATTTTCCTGCTATGTGCAAGACCCTTTATTTGCATCACAAAAATAAATTTTAATTTAATTAAAATAAATAATTGTACCAGAATTAGAATTAAGTAACAAAAAATGACTACCAAGCATGAAACTCAGTCTAAGCTACAAAGAATGATGGCATGTCAATAGGAAAAAGTTCAAACTATCTTAAATAAGTACTTTTCAAATATTTTTCTAACAGGCTCTAATTCTTAAGATTAAATCTGAGATACAAGCCTAATAATATAAAGGAAGTCAACATGGAGCTGTTCTCCATATTGGCAAAGATGGGGTAGGAACCAGAAATTCCACAGATTCAGCCTTTCTTTTCCTCCTCATCAGCATCCATTAAGTACAACTAGAGATTAAGAAGTCATAGGTTAAAAGGACATCTCACCTCAACAGTGTAATCCCATCAAGCCCTTCCAAAATTCTGTTCAGGATTGAAGAGAAAAGGCAGCAGCTGAGGCCCTGGGCCAGGAGACTCACCTCGTACTGGTGCCCCATCCATGATCTCGTACTTGGCTATCGTGTCGTTTTCGTGGTATACGTTGGGGCCTGTGCCCGTTGTTTCCCGTTTGATGATGTCTATCTCCATGTGCTTTATTTTGATTCTCACCAGCAGGAAGTATATCTTTCCTACAATGACATCTTTCAAGTGGTATCTGGGGAAGAGAAAGACAAGCAAAGTAAGATGTTGGTATAGTGGATGGCCTCTTTTTCTTTGTGTAGAGAGCACACTGCCGTGGCCATGCATGTTGGTTGGAGGTCCAGTTTCAGGGCACACTCCCTTGTCTTCCCATCCTCACTACTGTGGTAGAATGGTTTTCCAGTATGTTCTTTTCATGAATCTTTTTTTTTTTTTTTTAAGAACATTGTAGTTATACTTTCTAAATCTTAAGTGTCTTCTACAGCCAATTCAAAGGATAATACATGCTACTTTACCTGTTCATATTTGTTCATCAATTTTATCTCCCCAGCACACACCGTTTATATTTCTGTGTTTTTTATGTGTGTTTTTCTAATGTTTAAGAGGCCATCCCTTACAAACACAGGAACCAGGTCTGTCTGTCTTTCTGTCTTTTGGTAAGTGGACCTCAGTGGCTTATAGCAAACATTTCAGTTTGCTCTGAACTGGACAGACCAGGCACATATAGTAGAATGAGAGAAGTGGAACTCCCTCCCTCTGCATCAGTGCCTATTCTGGGCTCTGCTCAATGACTTGTGCTCTGTGAACTAAAGGGAATTCAGCCATATTATGTAACACTTTCTCACTCTTCAAACTTTTCTTTAGGTCAGCCCATAGCACTGGTAGTCTGGACAGAGCCCTGTATGGCAGAAAGATAGCAAACTCCAAACATGAAGTTTAGACTCATGGGACATGGATGCTGTTAGGGACTTCAGAATTTAACTTGCTTATAATCCAAGTGAAAAAAAGCAAGTTGGAACAGAGAGATCATTTGACTCGGATGTGCACAGAGGGCAGAGACATGAGGTGAACCCAGTTTCCTGGATCTCAAGCTTGAGTGTTCCCCACTATTTCACAGCACTCTTCTGTTTAGTCTGTTGGGAAGACTACAGATAGAGTAGAAAAGCTCAGCACACTTGCAAAAACAGCAGGAAATCACCTGCAACATTTCACAGGGACGCTTAGAAACCATGAATGCTAAAGTTTTCTAAACTTTGGCAAATGGAACATTCCTTTTTCTAAATGAAATCTCACACAGAAGCATAATTGTGTGAGAGTCATTAAAAATAGTTGGAGGAAGGTCTAAGGGTCCTGATCCCTGTTTTTTTCCTTCACCTCACACTGTATGTGCCTGAAGCCCATTGACCTAGTCCATACTCCTTATTTTTCAGATGAGTTACGAAAAATAGCTAACCTTAGTCAAACTTTTTTTTTTTTTTTTCCTGTGCTAGGGACCGAGGTTAGGGCTTTGCACATATTAGGCAGGCACTCTAACACTGAGCTACACCCTCAGTCCTTATTTTGAGACAGGGTCCTGCTAAATTGTTCAGCCTGGCCTTGAACTTGTGATCCTCCTGCCTCAGTCTCCCAAGTAGCTGGGATCTCAGGTATGCGCCATTGTGCCCAACTTACCCAAATTTCTTAATGGCAGAACAGAGTCTGATTCTTAGTCTTGGGTTCATTCTACTACAAATAAATTATATATATTCTCATACAATACTATCTGTTGCAAGAAGAGCAGTGGTCTGTATTCATCCCCTGACTGCATGTAACTGCACCTTTATACACTAAATTTGATCTTTTATACACTGCCAATTAATGGCTATTTTCAGCTCTTACAGTGGCACTGTTGCTAGCCACTGCCTTCATGAGGTATTTGGGGCACAGTATAGGACCACACAGAGCCCTGAGGCAGTGATGATAAAAGAGAAGACTATTCCCATGTTGGGCCCAGATCAGCCTCCCTCTCAGCACCCCATTCCCTGTTCCACAGGTGGGCCAAGCCAAGCCAGGTTGGTTCCAGGCCATACTAGTCATTTCAATGGGGACTCACTTGGCTCCAGGCCAGGGACAGAGGAAAAAAAATCCATGTTTCTTTCATGCCTGTTCCAGGAATCAACTATGTTCCTGGTTTAAAAAATTCCATTACCCTTCAAAGGCAAATCATCTGACTCAGGTCCCTTTAACCCTAGCCTCTGGTTCACAGTGGGCATGGGGGAACCACAGTGAGAAATGTAATTAGAGACTTTGACATTTTTTTTTTAACTCTAACTAGAATATCCTTTTCACTTTTAGGTATTTGATTTTTAAACATTTTCTGGAATATACTTTTTTTTAAAAAAAAAAAAAAAGATGGCCCTGATACTGTCAGATTGCCAGAAAGTTTTGTGGTTTATAAGCAATTAAATATTTTGATATTTTTATAGTAAACAGTTTAATATATACACAGCTTCACAACTTGCCAGCTAAAATAAAGCTATCTTAAGACCTTTATAAAAATATATCAGGTGTTCGTTCCACAATTCATTTTAGCAAACCATTGTCAGTGTTTGGTTTCCTCACTTAGATTTCTAAAGAGAGTGAGGAAACAAATGATAATGGAATTGTATTCTCTGATTATTATCAACCACAGAAAGAAATAGCTTCACATTGAATCTAAAACAATTTTAAAGTTAGCTTGAATTTGAAAGGCATCTTAGGATGTTTAACTTAAATATACCATTTTAATTAAATATAGTTTAAAGTAAAAGTTTATATTTCCTATTCCATCTATCTGTAACCAGCCTAACATATTCACTGTATTATTTCTGTGGTATTCCTCCCCAAAGCAGGTCACATGAAGCAGTGACACTGAGCTCTTTGTCAGTTTGCATTCAGATCAAGTTCTATCTTAACCTCCCTAAATAATTACTCCATAACCTTGGTGCCCAGGACACTTACTTGGATTTATTGTACTCAAACTCAATGTGTAGGCAGTCCTCAATCCCAACTTCCATCTTGATAGAAGAGTTCAGCTCTGGGTATGTGCTGAGTGTGTGAACTACAATGTCCATCTCTTTAACAACATCATTGAGGCGGCGGCTGATAGTGGCTCGAAGGAAATAACTGTAGGAAATAGAGCTTGTCATGAATAAACACTCCCAGCCTCCAGATGCTACCTAGATATAGGCAGCAAACTGACCCACTTAAGAGAACTCCTTACAGTAGTTCTTAATCTTTTGGGGATTTCTGTCCTTTTAAGAATTTATGGGCCCTTCTCCCAGGGAATTCTGCACATATGCACCTATACACAAAATTTTGCAACTATAATTCTAGGAAGATCAAAGATCTTCCCAAATCCCTTTTAGGAGCCTGGGCTTTGGTTAAGAATTCTGCTCTAAGTAAAAGTGATTTCTCGCCTCTGTACTCCAATAGTATGATATTCTTAGGTCTTTCATGACCCTTACCTCTATTTGCCATATATTCACATGCAGGTTTTATTTCTTCAACTAACTCCCATATTTTTGAATACAAGGATCTGTCCCATAACACACTTATATCCACATGCCTGTTCACTTAACTATATTCAATCAATAAACATTTTTCAAGTTCCTCATGGTTGAAAGAGGGGAATCAGAAATAAAGAAATCAAGTAAGCTATCCATTCAGCAAACTTATTGAGCTAAGTACTGTACTGGGCATAACATGAATAAGATGCAGCTTCATGGGAAGCTTAAAACTCACTAGGGGAGATTGGCAAATAAACTTGAAAATTAGAACACATGGAAAGGGCTAATTCACATACTGTAATCCAGTGCTGTGGGGAAGGAAAAAAGGGCTTTCCAAGATGAGCAAACCTTCTTGTAAAGCACCAGAGTCTGACTATGAATAGCAAAGAAGTCTCTGGCTCAACCTTGAAGAGGAGTTTGCTGTGCTTGGGAACAGGTTAGAAAGAAGAAAGAAACCTTGCCCTTCAAGGTTTAACAAGGCCAACCTCTGCAGCCAGCCACATTAACTGCCTTCCCCAGCATCCCTATTTCCTTGATGTGATGTGCTAATATCCTACAAAGGAGAATACAGCCCTTTAGTTATATTTTCTTATAAACAACACAATCTTCAAGGCATGTTTAAGCATTGCTGGTGAAAGTTATAAAGATCGCTCATCAAATCAATTACACATTTGGACTTCTGTCCTCTGTATGGTATTAAATGCTTCCTGGCAATCCTTTTTAGTCATCTCAATAACTGTCACATTGCCCAAGACATTTGTTCTTAACCCTTTTAAACATTTTTTTAAATTTTATTTTGAAGCAGGGTCTCTCTAAGTTGCCCAGACTAGCCTTATACTTGCAATTCCCCTGCCTTATCCTCCCCTGAGTAGCTAGAGTTTCAGATATGAGCCAATATGCCTGGAAATTTCTAACCCTTTTCTGGTTGTTCAGGTCCGGAGCTTATTTCCTGCCTGTGGAAGACATTGCTTTTTCCTCTACTAAAATGACAAAGAGCCAGGCCCAGTAGTGCGTGCCTGTAATCCCAGTGACTTGGGAGGCTGAGGCAGGAGGATCCCAAGTTCAAAGCTAGCCTCAGCAACTTAGTAAGGCCCTAAGCAACTTAGTGAAACGCTGTCTCAAAATAAAAAAATATATAGGGCTGGGATGTGGCTTAGTGGTTCAATCCCTGGTACAAAACAAAACAAAAAAATGACCTTCCAAGTCAAGATTTATAATTTTCTCCCTTGTCTGCTCTGTGCTATTTTTTAAACATAGGACCTAAACATGTCTCTGTACCTCACTTGCCTTCCAGCACCATCCCTTTCCTAAGACCTTTTCTCTTCCATCTGGTACAACCACTCTCAACCTGCAAGCACATTATGATCACATTGCAGGAGGGGGAGAGGATTGAAAAATCCTGATGTCCAGGCACATCTGACATGAAATTGCTCTGCTGAAGGTCAAAGTTGCCCAAGTAATTCTATTGTGGGGACCAACATCTTCATCCAACATCTTCATCCTTCTGCTTTTCCAATCTCTCTCATTGTCAGTGTCTTTCTAGCTAAAGACTTTGTCCTTTGAGTTTATTTAAAAAAAAAAAAATCCCAAACTAATCAATCCCCAAACAGCTCCAGGTATCATACTCTTAACCTACCTACCACAGGTTCCCTTTCTTTTTTTCACAGGCAGCTATCATAAGACAGTTCCTCTACTGACAGCTGTATCACCTGATGAGCTTTTACATATCTATAAATATATAGGCAGTACCTCAAATTCCTCTCTAACATTAGATGAATCATCTAATTTCCCAATCATTTATTCCTCTGGACAGTCCTGTCGTCTCCACTGCTGCATGGCTACACTATTAGTACATTCTGCTGCTATCTATTAAATTCCATTTCTGCCTGTTCCCATTGTCTCCACCAAAATAAAACTCTTAGCTTTGATCAATTCTGTTTTCACATTTTCTCCATTCATCAAATTCTACATATTGGCTTTTATCTTTCAAAAGAATCATTCCCATGCCTAAAACCAAAGGAAAAAATTTCAGAACAATCTTTTTATGCTTTTCCTCTGCCTGTGTAATAAGATACACACTTAAAATACACACTTCAGAATGGAATTTACAAGTGGAATTTTACATTTTCTATACTGTCCTCAACACATTTTCCCATCTTTACCTCTTCTCTTTCTCAATATGAATCTTAAAGTCTTCATCTACACACACATCTTTCATTTCTTTTATTGTGGAAAAATACACATAACAAAATTTATCATTTTAACTCTTTTTTAAATGCACAGTTCAGTGAAATTAAGTTCATTCACATTGTTGTGCACCATCACCATCAGTCATCAACAGAACTTTTCCTTCATCACCAACTGAATCTGTCCCCCATTAATAAACAGTAATGTCCCCATTTCACCCTCCTCTCAGCTCTTAGCAACCACCATTCTACTTTTGTTCTCTATTAATTTGACTATTTTAGTCAAATTATATTACATATAAATAGAATTATCCCATATTTGATCAGTCAAAAAGGTGACTGGTTTGTTTCACTTAGCATAATGTCCTTAATATTTATCCTTAAAGTTTTATTGTATAATAGAATTTGCTTTTTAAAAGATTATATGATAGTCCACTGTATGAATATACCATATTTCATTTACACATTCACTTATGGACATTTAGGTTGTGTCCTAGTTATTTTAGTTATTGTGAATAATGCTGTTGTGAACATGGATGCATTAATATCTGTTTCAGATCCTATCTTCAATTCTTTTGGATATATAACTAGAATTGGAATTTCTGTATCATAGGTAATTATATATTTAATGTTTTTGTGCATGTGGCTCTGGATATTGCACCCAGGCCCTAGCACACTTTAAGCACATGCTCAACATTGAGCTATATCCACAGCCCTATGTTTAATTTTTTAAGAAATCACCATTATTTCCAACACCTTTCTTTCTAACATAAAACTACTCAAGACAAATCTACTACAAGGAAAAAAATTAATAAGTTCCATAACCAACTTAAGTGCCATCTAGATGATGCTCACTATTATTGCCTTTTCAAAGTAATATGAGGAAACACTGTCTTTAGTGGTGATATGTCAGTGCGCAGTGATTATACCTCCCTCTCTGAAAAGATTTAAAAAGAAGAATCTATAGACACTGCTGATGGAACAGGGTGAATGACAAGGGGAGGCACAGGTCTAGTATAGTCTGTACTGTCCCAAACCTAGGCCTTCACGTGATAAAACAAGCTCATTGATGAGATGGTATCGCATTAAGACCTGGGATCATGTGTTCAGTAACAGAGGAGTCTGCTTTATCCCAATGACATCACATAATCTCAGGGTTGCACCTAAACCTTAGCTGTTGTGTAATTTTTCACCCCAGAGGCCCTGGCATCACTCCCTATCCTCAGCATTTCTAAGAATGAAGCAGTAAAAACAACCCCCTGTACTTAAAATGTGTTAATTATTGATATTTTTACTGTTATCATTATTTCATGATATTAAACCCAGGACCATCACTGGGCTATACCCTCAGTTCTATTCATTAATTTTTAAAGACCTTGTTATACTGTGTTACATTTTATTTTCTAATCATTCCCCCCAAAGATGGAGAGGACCCATCTAGAATTAGAATTCAAATCTATTACCCATTTTTCAAGTGATAAAGGTAAGGCACAGAGCTCAAGATCACATGATGTTGTGTGCCAGAGCTAGATGGGGGTCAGTATGTCCTAATACCCAGCCTGGGGTGTGGCTGGGGCCAGTTTAGCTGATTATTGAATTTTTAGGAATTTTGTTAAACACAGCTAATATTTAAAGTTAAATGACATAAAATTATAATTAAGTGAATTATGGTAAAAATAAGGGTAATATATACTAAAAACTCAACGTTTCCTAATTATTTTCCTAGACTTCACAATGTTCTTTGCTCTTGAAGAAATGTACACCCTGTGACTCTATATGATGGTGACGCTATGTAAAAATCGCTACTGTACATCTCTCCTCACTTCTGTGTTCAGGGATACCAGGTTGGCAACTGGAAATTGGCCATGGTGGCAATACTTGACTACAGAAACTGACAAATACTACAAACTGAAGAGCTTTTCTCTGGAGCACCCATTGTTGAATATTTACCAGTACATCATAGCTTGCACTTTCTTTCTTGATACCCACATAAATAGATCTTAAGAAACAGGGATATTTTCAGGTCCTCACCCAAATGGGCAGGTTCTGGGCATGGTGGAGAAGTAGCAGTGACAACTTACCGTAGCTTCACATTCTGTCCTGTGTAGGACTCATACGGCTTTTCCACGTGAGTAAATTCAAAGTCGAAGGCCTGCGATTGGGTGATCTCTCCGGGCCGAGCCAAGTCCTTCACCAGGGACACAAATTCATGGTGGTTCCCACGGTCATAGTAGAGTTCTGAAGAGAGAGCAATGCCTTCCCTATCAGACCAGGGCTACATAGGCCCTAGAGAGGGCACTTCAGGGTGGAGGTGCCACTCTTCTGAAGGGGCTTGCCCCCAAACAGACCCCTTCTCTCCTTGTTTTTAGGCTTTCTCTTTTTCCCTGAATCCATCCCTTCACTGTTGATTATCCTTTTACATTCCTAATTTTTGAAAGTATATTCATAGTTACATAACTATATTATCCTGATAATAATCTTTTTTAAATATTTATTTTTTAGTTGTAGTTGGACACAATACCTTTATTTTCTTTATTTATTATTATGTGGTACTGAGGATCGAACCCAGGGCCTCACAGGTGCTAGGCAAGCGCTCAACTGCTGAGCCACAACCCCAGCCCCCTGATAATAATCTTGCAAGATGATGGATCAGGCCTTATCACCCATTTAACAGAGAAGAAAACTGAGAGGTTGCATGGTAATATGTCTGGATTGCAGCTAGAGAGTGAGATTAGAGCAGGCCTCCTCTGGAACTACATCTGTATTTATGATTGGCTATAGTGAGGATAATAACACAACCTACTTTATAAGGTTTTGTGAGGAGGTGAGGGTAATGTAGGTGAAGGATTTAGAACAGTATCTAGTTAATAATAAGTAGATCCACTAGCTGCTGCTCTCAGAAAGGCAAGCATGTGGTCCACCTAACATGAAAGTTTTAATGTTACTCCCTCAAACTATAAATCAGTGGTGTTCCAACTTCAGTGTATATCAGAATCCTCTAGAAGGCTGATTAAAACTCAGACTGCTGGACATCAGGACTAATGTTTTTGATTCAGACACCTGGGGTGGGGTCTGAAGATGTGACTTTTTAACCAGTTCTCAAGAGGTGCTGGTACAACATTTGAGAAGCAAAGCTCTAAATTCATCCTCCTCACAAAACATTTCTGATATATATTCATGATAAGCTCATGCTATCGTTTGTCCCACATTATTTTATGTCTGTCTATGTCTGCTATTTAAATAATAAGTTTGGCTGTACAGTCTTTCTTTTCCACTTTGGACTGAAAGCCCTTTAAAGACGAGTCCCTTATCTCCAGATGGCCCTGCAGTGGTGAACAGTTAACTCTGACTGTAACACCCCTCTGGTATTTCACTCCACTTCCATATGAATTTACAATGTATCATGTGGCTATAGTTTATGGCAGATTTTCCTATGTGGTTACACTTTGACCAGTCTTTTATTACAAATTATTCCCTTCTTTTTCAAACACTAAATGGTTTCAGCAGTCGACAACATTCTGGGTAGTGAGTGATCATCCATAAATCCACTAGAGGGAGATGACAGCTGGAAACTATGTTCAGGAAAAGTGAGCAATCCAGTAACTGTCCTCCCCCCCACACCCCCAATAAACCTTTGAAACTGTCCTCTCACCCCCTACCCACAATAAACCTTTGAAAGGGTAGAAACAGACACTCAGCCAGCCCCAGCAACAAGGACTCCTTTACTCACCACTGCTACCTGAGCCCTGGTTGATGGTACTGCCTTCTATGTGAAAATTGAACTCTTAACTTGGGAACATGGTGCCTCAGTTCCTATATGCTAGATTCCAGCCCTATTTCCAGGGGACAGAAGCAGGCAGAACAAGGCTCCAATGTCCATGAACTTTAAGTAGTAAATAATAAAGTCAAGAGGAAGATGGGAAACGAAGAATGGAAAAATACACAAATGTGACCACACAGACCAAAGGCAATATGAGAACTAATGCAGGCTGCCAGTATTTGAGGATCTTAGCAACAGTGCAGAAGCTCTCTGCCTGCAGGGGACTTGGACAGAAGAAGTCCTTTCCTGCATAGCATCACTTTGTCCCTAGTTCTTTTCTTCCTATCACACATTAACATCAGCTTTTCCATCATATGCCACAGAAGAGTGGCCAGTATGTGATCTGAGCAGTGCTGGACTGGCCTTTTAAATTAATCAGTCATAAGCTATTTGCCGATTGGTTTTGTCTTGCATGAATTAAAACAGAAAGTCCAAAGTTGTTCTAAAAACAGATTTGAGCCTAAAAAGACAGTGAACTGTCCTAAAGAAGCAACGATAAGCCATCCCTAATTCTTCCCAACCATGAAGCCATCAGAGACATACATTTCAGGCTAGAAGTAGATACTGGCTTCTTTTTTTTTCCCCCAAGGTAACTTCTTTTTCTTTAGTTTTCTTCTCAGTTCAACAGGAGGAAATAACTTTCACACTTAGGATATTTTCATGGTAAAATTTGCCAGCAATGAACAAGAAATGAAGTTGCCACTTTGGAAGGAAATTGAGCCAGATTTATATCACAAGTTGATCTGTTGACAGATACCCTGGAACTCACTACTGGGCTAGGATCACATAGAGTCCAGGCTTCATGTTGGTCTTAGAAGAAATATAAATCAGCAAAAGCCTCCTTTACTGCTGATTTTAATAGCCTGGTTGCAGGCTGGTAACCTGGTAAAGATTTGTGTTTGCCATAGCCTGCTCATATCTCCCAGCCCTGCTAAACCTGCAAGAACAATCATACCTCTGGGCTTCCTTCCCATACCCAGTTCTGCTCGGGACAGCTCTACTCCAAGCCCAGCTGGTAATTTACTAACTAGGCCAAAATCAATCCATTTAATCTCAATCTGCCTTTCACTTAGTATTTTGAGGGTTAATGAATTAAAATAAAATCTCTGGAGATTTTAAAAGTATAGGTTTGATTGGTACTTAATTTATTAAAAACTTTTTTAAAAACTAGTTAATATCTATTTGGTTTTGGAATATAGGGATGTTCATATTTGCCCTCCTCTATAGGTCTGACTTTCTAATTATGTTTGGTTTATTTAACCCCATTAGTCTCCAAGATGGGTCAGGTCTGCCTTACATCCTTCACCAGTGTTCCCCAAAGGATTCAAACTGAGAAATGTTTTTGTCTGCTTCTAACAATTCAGTTCCTCCCTCATTGCTGTTTACTTAATCTTTCTAAAAATGTGGGCCATTAGTTGGGTGGAATGACTAGATCTTAGACCTCAGGTTTTGATCTGGAAGGTTGCTTCACTACACAGTCCAAGCGACTGGAAAAAAAGTATTCTAGGTACTGGGAGGGTACCAATGTAATTCAAAAACTTACTGAAGATAACAAAAAACATACACAATGTAAGTGAATAAATAAGATCCTACATTCATAATAAGGGCCATATTAAACTATTAGATCTGAGTAGACAGTGCAGGATCAGATGGACCGTGGTTCTAACAACTCCTATTTTCTCACATACAGGAAGAGATCAGCGTCAACTTGACATAGAGTGTCATTGAAGAAAGATGCAAAAGCATATAAATTGATATTAGTTTTAGTGATTTTATTTCTTATCACAGTTCTCTCAGTGAGGACGCTGCTCTGTTGGGTACATACCAGTTATGAATCATTGGAGTCCTCAGTGGTCTTGATTAAGAGCTGTGCCTAGTTCCTTAATGCCTCCACCACAAGCATAGTGGGATGTCCAAATGCTTAATGGTAACCAGCAAAGCAAACCTGCTTACTCCCTTTCTTTCATGAAATAACTTTGGTTTCTCTTGGAGCAGATAAGAAAAAAAATCCAGGGAACAATTTCTGTAAATTCTTAGATCCGACCAATGTATCCAGTTAACAAATATTTATCCAGCATCTTCTATGAGTTAGCCACTGGGTCTAAAGTTTAGCCACTAGAATAATGATGACTGAAGATCTCTGGCTCTCAGTCGAGGAAGACAGAAAAGGTTTTTTTGTTTTGTTTTGTTTTATTAAGGCATATCCTGATTGAAAAGAGGTACCAGTGGAGGAAATTAGCCTGGCGAAGTCAAGGAAGGCTTTCCAGATGGGTATGATGTTTGTTGGACTTGAAAGAATGAGAAAATATGTGGGTAAAAAGTCATACTTTCCAGAAAGATGATAATATACAAAGTGAAGATCTCAAGATTGTAGAAGGAATAGGATATGTTGAGGAAGATACAAGTGGTGAGGGTTAGTGAAAGATGAATTTGAAAGATGCTGGTGCCAGCTCATAGTTTTATCCTTGAACCAAGAGGGAGTCAAATATGAAGAACTTTAAGGAGGGGACTGACAGTGTTACAATTTCCTTTTACAGTTCATCCTTACTGAATATAAACTTGAGGAGAGGAAAACATAGGCAGGAATATCAGGTAGGAGGCTGCTTAATAAAGGGAGTAGCAGAAGAATGAAAATAAAGCTCAGATTTAAAATAAACTACAGAGCTGTTGAAGAGGACCAAAATTTAGAAGAAAACTGGATGCATAAAGATCTCCAAATGACTTGTACATTTCTGTGATCAAATGGACCCAGGTGACATTGGACAAGGCGTTGGGTTCAATCTTCAGCACCACACACACACACACACACACAAAAAAAAAAAAAAAAAAAAAAAAAAAAAAAAAAAACCAGGAGAAGCATCACCATGGGGTAGGAATGGGGAGCAGAGATGTTTCTGTTTGAATATATCTGTGAAGTACCTGAGGATATCAGACATGTTTTGCAGGCAGCTAGAAAGACAAGTAAAACTGAGAAGAGAGTTCCTGTCAGGACAAAGAAACCATTTAGGAGTCATCAAAATATAAATTGACACTTAAGTCATAGGTGCAGAGGAGATAACCAGAGAGTGAGAAGCAATAGGGGATAAAAGTTCTACTTCCTCTAAAACCCTATTTAAAATCAGTTGAAGGAGTTCAGTACTCAGTAACTTTCTTATACCTCTGTATCACTCATATTGCCACTCCTCCAAACTAGCAGAAGATCCACCCACTTGATACACAAAGAAGGCAATGAAGGAGAAAACCACAGGACCACAATTTCAGTGAAGTTACCCACGAGCCTCGCTCTAGTGCCTTGAGGTCAGTGCATAATGATTGTCTTAGGTGGATGACACAATACTTCATGGCCTGCTTCTTCAGGGGAGCCAGGAGAATAAAATAAAAACATAATAGTTTAAGAAAAGTCACTTTATGTCTCCAAATTGTCTGGTATGACTTTACTACCAATTTTAGGAACAGAAACTCCCATTTACATCAAATATAACTAGAAGGTTTTTATCTAATGCCTTGTTCTTGATCAAGAAATACATCGAAAAACCAAATAATAAGAAAATCACCCATCACCCCCTATTATTCTACAACTTTCTTTCATGAAATAACTTTGGTTTCTCTTAGAGCAGATAAGGAAAAAACTACATTCTTTTAGCACATATCTGGGATTGGCTCTCTATGCTATACCAGACATGACTTACCCACAATGTAGAAGCAAGAATTTTAAAGCAAAGGCTGAAATATGCACTCCCTCTAAGCAGACATGATAAGCTTATTGGGAAAGGATATAGGAAATATAGGGGGAAAGCAGTATACAAATGATTATAATTGAATTTATAAAATGGAAACATTGCTACCTCAGCTGCTATTATTTTTATAAAGGGACCAGCTATAAGGGGTGTGAGTCATGATTCCCTAAGATGCTCAACATAATCACTGAGTGATTTTATTATCCTTGCCTTACAGTTCAGAAAGTTGAAGCTCAGGGAGAAGTCTATACTCCCCAGAATCTCATAGCCATCTTATCCCAGAGTGCCCAGGAGCCCAGGAAGAGTTATAAGTGAAAGCAATAACAGAAAATTTGGTAAGGATGATGTCTTGAAATTAAGGAGTTGGACAAGAAGCCAGGGACACCAAACAAGTTCCTCTGCCACCTTTTCATTTAGACCAGAGGGAGAGACTTTGATACTGTTCCTTCTAGATTGGTGCATTTCATATTATCTGGGGCAAGGGATATTCTCGGTTATCTTCCACATATTAGGAAGCTCATACCACCTTGGAGTGACAGTACAGACACAGCTTAAACATGCCAGTCTACACTAGTATTACAGAGGCAAAGAAGTGATAACTTTAAAACTCCTATTTTAAAATACCTATTATCAATAGGAAGAATTTCTTGACTATTTTATATGTTTGTCATAAAATGCTTTGTATTTATCCAATCTATACTGGGTTCTTTACAAGGGGTGATTTTTACCTTCTAGTAGACATATGATAACATCTCAAGACATTTTTTTTTGGTTATAAGTGGAATTGGATGCCATTGGTGTCTGGTTGGTAGAGACTGAAGATGCTGCTAAACATTCTGCTACAACAAAATGTTATCAGCCCCAAATGTCAACAGCACTGCTATTAAGAAAGCTTGTCATTTAACCAGTAGCAGAAAAGCAAAAGGCGTGAAACCTAATCTTCAGCCCCTTTTCTGGTATAGTAACAAACCTCTCATAATCTGCCTTTAAAATAACAGCAAAAAAGTTTCCTATAGGATCAGCCAGTCCTCAACCTAATTTATTTTCTTAAGTACAAAATGCTTGGGGTTAGATGGTGGACTTCAGAGCCAGTCTGCCAGGACTCCTTTTTCTTGGGTTTCTCCTACCTCTCTCTCAGTGTTTCCTACCTCTATAAAAGAGAGGAGGGAAAATGCTTTGCTGAACTCTGAGGATATGAGAGAGTTTAATAATATTTCCCAAGGAAGTCTCTAAAAACAGTGTCATATGAGCATCATGGGGTATAGGGCATGGTTCTCTGCCACAGGTGTTTATGGCCCACAGAGTATTTACTTCGAACCTATTCCTGATCTCTTGACAAAAAACATTTATTTTAGAAGTGCCTGAGCATTTTAATCACACACAAGTCTCTAAATAATCTTAGAATTAGAATCCAGTTTTGATGGGCAGCTTTCAAATTTTTTTCTTGTTACTGCCTCTTACTGTCTAGTTCTAATAGTAATAGTTAATAGTCATGTCAAAGATTGTTACAGAGCATTGAAAAATAAATTTTGATCATTTAATTGCTGCTTCAGAAACATCATTTCTTTGGCTTTAAGGAGAAAATTAGATGACTGAAGAACAACATTCGAATAGAAGTCTGAGAAATAGTCTATACTAGGCAGCTGGATTGAGGTAGAAAACTATACGTCTTCTTTTTCAAAACAGGCACAAGATAGGTTGTTTAGAACTGAGATAATACAGAACGGGTGAGTCTTTTCTCCCACACCATATCTAAAGAGAAAAAGGGGACTAGTTGGGGCACAGCTTAACTTTGGGTCTGACAGCTGTAGCTGTCCAGGCAAAGGGAAAGCCAGAATTGAAAAATTGTTTCCTCCCTAACACACCCACCTGCCGGTTATGCCCAGAGCACCTCATTCTGAAATCCTGGGGGCAGGTAGCAAAGCTGGGAGCATGCTGAAGAGAATACAACGATGCCCAAGGCCAGGTGCCCATCTGACCACATGGCAGGGCGCTATCTCCCGCCTTTGGTTGTTACCACCTCCCTGGCATTGCGCTGTCACTTTTGGCAGGGAAGACAGTAACGCAGGGGGAGTCACCCACGGGCGGGACTTGTGGCTGAGCCCCAGGCCTCAGACTGCAGATGACAAGCGACTGTGACAGGCCTTACTGGAGCTGGGCCCTGAAACACTCTGGTCCCCGCCAGCCCCCAACTCGGCGCCAAGCCCCGTCTGAACCGCTCCAACAGAGGGTGGACGGGGGCGAGGGGGGAAGGGTGGTCCACTCACCAATCTGCCCGATGAACTCGATCTTGATACCCTGGTGCTCCAGGCGCTTGTTGGGGTTCTTGAGCGCAAGGCTCACCTTTCCGGAGACAGTCTCTCCGTCGTAAAAGAGGAAATATTTCTCTTTCTTCCCGTCCTCCGTCTTGTGCTCCGCTCGCTTCCTACTCTCCGCATCGTTCAGCAAGATTTCCACCTCCACGCTCTGCCCAAAGCCGAAGAAGCTCATCTCACCGCCAGACAGGGCAGGTCTAGGTAAGGACCGCTCCCTTCCTCCCGGGAGCGGGCTGCCCTAAGGGACAGAAGGCCAGAGGGCCAGCTGCGGCAGTGCCTTCGGCGACTGGCACCGCAGCTTGGCTCCGCCGCTGCTCTGGGCGACCACCAACTGCGTGTTCCACGGAGGAGGTGGAAGGCAGGGTGAGGCTGGAGGCTTCGGGCTGCAGCGTCCGGAGCAGCAATGCACAGAGGAGCAATGCAAGCCGGAGCCGCTGGCTGCAGCTATCAGGCGAGGGTCGGCGGTGCAATGCAGGGGAGGGCAGCCTAGCAGAGCCGCGTATTAGAGTTCCACCGCCCGGGGCCAGCAACACAGCAACCTGCCCAGCCTCCCGCGGTGCAACGCACCCAGGTGCTTCGGCGGCTCGGGGCGGGGGTGGGGGGAGGCGAGCTTCGGCCCGGATGGGAAAGAGATGCCATGCGCATGCGCACACCTTATTCTCCCTATCCGGCCGCTAAGCCACCAGGAGATCTGCTCATGTGCGCATGTGCAGTGCTCCCTTAGTTGACATGGCATCCCCGACTCTTTCCAGCAGAATTCCGGCCCAACCATTCCGTAAAATCCGTGTGTTCTCAGAAGACTTTTGGTTGTTTTTTCCTTTTTATTTTAACTCGATAGACATTGGGCTACCATGACATTCAGATATATACAATGTTCGAGTGATGTCTGACCGCGCGAAGGTAGTTCTTTGACAGGCACGCGAAATATCGCTTGACAGAGAGCAAAGGTGACTTATTACAGGAATCACTCTGTCTCAAATTCTCCTTAGATCTCCTCCCACATACAAAAATGAGACGGGACTTAAGTTATTAGGCTTTAATTTAGTTCCTGGTCCTGCCTTAACGAGAACACACGCACACAAAAATCACCCTGTGGAACCTAGTTTAAGCCTCCAGTCTTAGCCTCAACCTCATTCTTTGCGCATGCGGCGAACGACCCACGTGATTGGTTGAGATAATGAAAGCAACCCAGCCTGGCGATGGGTCGGTTAGAAATTCCTTATGTGCTGATTGGTCCGCAGGAACGTCTCCGAGCGCGCGCGGGAGCGAGCTTTGAAAGTTGGGTACGGCGGTGGCGAGCCGGGGCTTCAGAGATTATGGTGGCGCTGCGGGACCTTGGGAGCGGCCTGCAACCATGGTTCCCGTTGGATCTCAGCCTCGGTAAGCAGACGCAGCCGCGAGTCCCTGGGAGCAGGACTAGGTGCTGTGCTTCCCCAACGGAACCTCAGCCCGGGTCCGGGTGCAGGTGGGGGAGGGGTGGGGCCACAAACACTCTGCCTTGTCTGGGATCTCCAGGATTGTGCCGCGCCAGGATCGTGACCAGCTTGATTTACCGTGGGGGCTCAAAACCGTTAGTTAACCGTTTTAAAAAGGAGTTTATGTTGGTTGATTTCTTGCACTGAGTCTGCATCTGTTTTTATGGCCTCCCCCATTTCATTCTGCTACTCCTGGACATATCCATTCTCATCTCTTTCTTTAGTTTTAAATCCCAAATTTCTTTCTTCCTCTTGACTTATTTATTGAACTTCCTGTTCATAAGCATCAACTAGATGTATCACGTGTGGACATCAAACGTCACAAGAATGAAACTAGGATTCCTAAAGCCAGCTAAAGGCACCAGTCAAGCTACACTTTCCCTTTCATGAACGCTCACCATAACCGGTTGTTCTGCTTACCAATTCCATTCCTGATTCTGCCATCTGGGCCCAAGCCTTCATAGTCAACCAGAGAAATTTCTGGAGTATCTAATGTTAACTGTTCCTGTCCACTCCTTACACTGTGCAGGGCCACTTTTGAAAACACAACTGTTTTCTAAATAAATGTCACTTTATTTGGGCTTATTAACTTGGTTATTAGATTTTTCAGAAAGAAGCATCCAAGGCCATCATTGATTATTTTTTTTTTTTTNTCAATCTTCAGCACCACACACACACACACACACAAAAAAAAAAAAAAAAAAAAAAAAAAAAAAAAAAAAAACACCAGGAGAAGCATCACCATGGGGTAGGAATGGGGAGCAGAGATGTTTCTGTTTGAATATATCTGTGAAGTACCTGAGGATATCAGACATGTTTTGCAGGCAGCTAGAAAGACAAGTAAAACTGAGAAGAGAGTTCCTGTCAGGACAAAGAAACCATTTAGGAGTCATCAAAATATAAATTGACACTTAAGTCATAGGTGCAGAGGAGATAACCAGAGAGTGAGAAGCAATAGGGGATAAAAGTTCTACTTCCTCTAAAACCCTATTTAAAATCAGTTGAAGGAGTTCAGTACTCAGTAACTTTCTTATACCTCTGTATCACTCATATTGCCACTCCTCCAAACTAGCAGAAGATCCACCCACTTGATACACAAAGAAGGCAATGAAGGAGAAAACCACAGGACCACAATTTCAGTGAAGTTACCCACGAGCCTCGCTCTAGTGCCTTGAGGTCAGTGCATAATGATTGTCTTAGGTGGATGACACAATACTTCATGGCCTGCTTCTTCAGGGGAGCCAGGAGAATAAAATAAAAACATAATAGTTTAAGAAAAGTCACTTTATGTCTCCAAATTGTCTGGTATGACTTTACTACCAATTTTAGGAACAGAAACTCCCATTTACATCAAATATAACTAGAAGGTTTTTATCTAATGCCTTGTTCTTGATCAAGAAATACATCGAAAAACCAAATAATAAGAAAATCACCCATCACCCCCTATTATTCTACAACTTTCTTTCATGAAATAACTTTGGTTTCTCTTAGAGCAGATAAGGAAAAAACTACATTCTTTTAGCACATATCTGGGATTGGCTCTCTATGCTATACCAGACATGACTTACCCACAATGTAGAAGCAAGAATTTTAAAGCAAAGGCTGAAATATGCACTCCCTCTAAGCAGACATGATAAGCTTATTGGGAAAGGATATAGGAAATATAGGGGGAAAGCAGTATACAAATGATTATAATTGAATTTATAAAATGGAAACATTGCTACCTCAGCTGCTATTATTTTTATAAAGGGACCAGCTATAAGGGGTGTGAGTCATGATTCCCTAAGATGCTCAACATAATCACTGAGTGATTTTATTATCCTTGCCTTACAGTTCAGAAAGTTGAAGCTCAGGGAGAAGTCTATACTCCCCAGAATCTCATAGCCATCTTATCCCAGAGTGCCCAGGAGCCCAGGAAGAGTTATAAGTGAAAGCAATAACAGAAAATTTGGTAAGGATGATGTCTTGAAATTAAGGAGTTGGACAAGAAGCCAGGGACACCAAACAAGTTCCTCTGCCACCTTTTCATTTAGACCAGAGGGAGAGACTTTGATACTGTTCCTTCTAGATTGGTGCATTTCATATTATCTGGGGCAAGGGATATTCTCGGTTATCTTCCACATATTAGGAAGCTCATACCACCTTGGAGTGACAGTACAGACACAGCTTAAACATGCCAGTCTACACTAGTATTACAGAGGCAAAGAAGTGATAACTTTAAAACTCCTATTTTAAAATACCTATTATCAATAGGAAGAATTTCTTGACTATTTTATATGTTTGTCATAAAATGCTTTGTATTTATCCAATCTATACTGGGTTCTTTACAAGGGGTGATTTTTACCTTCTAGTAGACATATGATAACATCTCAAGACATTTTTTTTTGGTTATAAGTGGAATTGGATGCCATTGGTGTCTGGTTGGTAGAGACTGAAGATGCTGCTAAACATTCTGCTACAACAAAATGTTATCAGCCCCAAATGTCAACAGCACTGCTATTAAGAAAGCTTGTCATTTAACCAGTAGCAGAAAAGCAAAAGGCGTGAAACCTAATCTTCAGCCCCTTTTCTGGTATAGTAACAAACCTCTCATAATCTGCCTTTAAAATAACAGCAAAAAAGTTTCCTATAGGATCAGCCAGTCCTCAACCTAATTTATTTTCTTAAGTACAAAATGCTTGGGGTTAGATGGTGGACTTCAGAGCCAGTCTGCCAGGACTCCTTTTTCTTGGGTTTCTCCTACCTCTCTCTCAGTGTTTCCTACCTCTATAAAAGAGAGGAGGGAAAATGCTTTGCTGAACTCTGAGGATATGAGAGAGTTTAATAATATTTCCCAAGGAAGTCTCTAAAAACAGTGTCATATGAGCATCATGGGGTATAGGGCATGGTTCTCTGCCACAGGTGTTTATGGCCCACAGAGTATTTACTTCGAACCTATTCCTGATCTCTTGACAAAAAACATTTATTTTAGAAGTGCCTGAGCATTTTAATCACACACAAGTCTCTAAATAATCTTAGAATTAGAATCCAGTTTTGATGGGCAGCTTTCAAATTTTTTTCTTGTTACTGCCTCTTACTGTCTAGTTCTAATAGTAATAGTTAATAGTCATGTCAAAGATTGTTACAGAGCATTGAAAAATAAATTTTGATCATTTAATTGCTGCTTCAGAAACATCATTTCTTTGGCTTTAAGGAGAAAATTAGATGACTGAAGAACAACATTCGAATAGAAGTCTGAGAAATAGTCTATACTAGGCAGCTGGATTGAGGTAGAAAACTATACGTCTTCTTTTTCAAAACAGGCACAAGATAGGTTGTTTAGAACTGAGATAATACAGAACGGGTGAGTCTTTTCTCCCACACCATATCTAAAGAGAAAAAGGGGACTAGTTGGGGCACAGCTTAACTTTGGGTCTGACAGCTGTAGCTGTCCAGGCAAAGGGAAAGCCAGAATTGAAAAATTGTTTCCTCCCTAACACACCCACCTGCCGGTTATGCCCAGAGCACCTCATTCTGAAATCCTGGGGGCAGGTAGCAAAGCTGGGAGCATGCTGAAGAGAATACAACGATGCCCAAGGCCAGGTGCCCATCTGACCACATGGCAGGGCGCTATCTCCCGCCTTTGGTTGTTACCACCTCCCTGGCATTGCGCTGTCACTTTTGGCAGGGAAGACAGTAACGCAGGGGGAGTCACCCACGGGCGGGACTTGTGGCTGAGCCCCAGGCCTCAGACTGCAGATGACAAGCGACTGTGACAGGCCTTACTGGAGCTGGGCCCTGAAACACTCTGGTCCCCGCCAGCCCCCAACTCGGCGCCAAGCCCCGTCTGAACCGCTCCAACAGAGGGTGGACGGGGGCGAGGGGGGAAGGGTGGTCCACTCACCAATCTGCCCGATGAACTCGATCTTGATACCCTGGTGCTCCAGGCGCTTGTTGGGGTTCTTGAGCGCAAGGCTCACCTTTCCGGAGACAGTCTCTCCGTCGTAAAAGAGGAAATATTTCTCTTTCTTCCCGTCCTCCGTCTTGTGCTCCGCTCGCTTCCTACTCTCCGCATCGTTCAGCAAGATTTCCACCTCCACGCTCTGCCCAAAGCCGAAGAAGCTCATCTCACCGCCAGACAGGGCAGGTCTAGGTAAGGACCGCTCCCTTCCTCCCGGGAGCGGGCTGCCCTAAGGGACAGAAGGCCAGAGGGCCAGCTGCGGCAGTGCCTTCGGCGACTGGCACCGCAGCTTGGCTCCGCCGCTGCTCTGGGCGACCACCAACTGCGTGTTCCACGGAGGAGGTGGAAGGCAGGGTGAGGCTGGAGGCTTCGGGCTGCAGCGTCCGGAGCAGCAATGCACAGAGGAGCAATGCAAGCCGGAGCCGCTGGCTGCAGCTATCAGGCGAGGGTCGGCGGTGCAATGCAGGGGAGGGCAGCCTAGCAGAGCCGCGTATTAGAGTTCCACCGCCCGGGGCCAGCAACACAGCAACCTGCCCAGCCTCCCGCGGTGCAACGCACCCAGGTGCTTCGGCGGCTCGGGGCGGGGGTGGGGGGAGGCGAGCTTCGGCCCGGATGGGAAAGAGATGCCATGCGCATGCGCACACCTTATTCTCCCTATCCGGCCGCTAAGCCACCAGGAGATCTGCTCATGTGCGCATGTGCAGTGCTCCCTTAGTTGACATGGCATCCCCGACTCTTTCCAGCAGAATTCCGGCCCAACCATTCCGTAAAATCCGTGTGTTCTCAGAAGACTTTTGGTTGTTTTTTCCTTTTTATTTTAACTCGATAGACATTGGGCTACCATGACATTCAGATATATACAATGTTCGAGTGATGTCTGACCGCGCGAAGGTAGTTCTTTGACAGGCACGCGAAATATCGCTTGACAGAGAGCAAAGGTGACTTATTACAGGAATCACTCTGTCTCAAATTCTCCTTAGATCTCCTCCCACATACAAAAATGAGACGGGACTTAAGTTATTAGGCTTTAATTTAGTTCCTGGTCCTGCCTTAACGAGAACACACGCACACAAAAATCACCCTGTGGAACCTAGTTTAAGCCTCCAGTCTTAGCCTCAACCTCATTCTTTGCGCATGCGGCGAACGACCCACGTGATTGGTTGAGATAATGAAAGCAACCCAGCCTGGCGATGGGTCGGTTAGAAATTCCTTATGTGCTGATTGGTCCGCAGGAACGTCTCCGAGCGCGCGCGGGAGCGAGCTTTGAAAGTTGGGTACGGCGGTGGCGAGCCGGGGCTTCAGAGATTATGGTGGCGCTGCGGGACCTTGGGAGCGGCCTGCAACCATGGTTCCCGTTGGATCTCAGCCTCGGTAAGCAGACGCAGCCGCGAGTCCCTGGGAGCAGGACTAGGTGCTGTGCTTCCCCAACGGAACCTCAGCCCGGGTCCGGGTGCAGGTGGGGGAGGGGTGGGGCCACAAACACTCTGCCTTGTCTGGGATCTCCAGGATTGTGCCGCGCCAGGATCGTGACCAGCTTGATTTACCGTGGGGGCTCAAAACCGTTAGTTAACCGTTTTAAAAAGGAGTTTATGTTGGTTGATTTCTTGCACTGAGTCTGCATCTGTTTTTATGGCCTCCCCCATTTCATTCTGCTACTCCTGGACATATCCATTCTCATCTCTTTCTTTAGTTTTAAATCCCAAATTTCTTTCTTCCTCTTGACTTATTTATTGAACTTCCTGTTCATAAGCATCAACTAGATGTATCACGTGTGGACATCAAACGTCACAAGAATGAAACTAGGATTCCTAAAGCCAGCTAAAGGCACCAGTCAAGCTACACTTTCCCTTTCATGAACGCTCACCATAACCGGTTGTTCTGCTTACCAATTCCATTCCTGATTCTGCCATCTGGGCCCAAGCCTTCATAGTCAACCAGAGAAATTTCTGGAGTATCTAATGTTAACTGTTCCTGTCCACTCCTTACACTGTGCAGGGCCACTTTTGAAAACACAACTGTTTTCTAAATAAATGTCACTTTATTTGGGCTTATTAACTTGGTTATTAGATTTTTCAGAAAGAAGCATCCAAGGCCATCATTGATTATTTTTTTTTTTTTTGTAGAGAGAACTTATAGAAAAGCCTGATCATTAAGTGTGTTCAAATTTCATTCCCCAAAGCTTTTTAACATCTAAAAACTGTTTTCTTTTTTGGTATTTTTATATGATTAACCTAATGGCCAGTTATGGTTTAATTTTTTCATAACCTTTACTGCTTTCTTTTAATGATGTAACATTTGTATTGCTGTAATTAAACGTGAATTGTGACTTTTGTCTTCATGAATGTATGTGTACACTTTTACTTGCTTTAAAGCACTTTTATTTTCATTACATTTTTCCCTAGAATGGGTACACACAGTGTGGGAACTGGACTTCACAGAGACTGAACCATTGGATTCCAGCATAGAAGCAGAGATCATAGAGACTGGATTGAATGCCTTCACAAAACTTTATGAAAGTCTTTTTCCCTTTGCTACTGAAGAACATGAATCCTCGGAGGTAAAAAAATATATAAAAATTATTTTAAAAAATTAAGCCATCTTTAGGTGTTAAAAGTAGCAGTCCTTATAATTTTAAATTTAGCTTTTTTCATTCACAATTCATAAAGGATACAATAAGAATGACAAAGAATATGGTTCATTCATTTCAACATCTTAATAACCTTCCTTCGAACGATTTAATGTGCTTGTTGTTTTTTGTTTTTGTTTTTTTTTTGGTACCAGGAATTGAACTAAGGGGCACTCAACCATCGAGGCACATCCCCAGCCCTATTTTTTATTTTATTTAGAGACAGGTTCGCTGTGAGTTGCGTAATGCCTTGCTTTTGCTGAAGCTGGCTTTGAACTTGCAGTCCTCCTGCCTCAGCTGCCCCAGCTGCTGGGATTACAGGTGTGCACTACTATACTTGACAATACAGAACCACTTTTTACCACAGCAAATTAAGCAAAAATGTAAAGGCAAAACCAAAGAAGAAAATCAGACAATCCAAATATGAAAAAAAAAAGGCCAAAAATAATAGAAATAACAATACAGACATGCCCTAACTGAGAAATGATTAGATGAATTACAGGTTTCCAAAGATTACCTTTAAATCTCGAGTTCTACCTAGTGTGCTTATTAATACTTAGATCATTAACTTCTTTTAAAAAGGGGGGGGTCCTGGGAAGTATAATTAAAAAAAACAGATATTAACATCCTTGAAACATTTAAATTAACAAAAAGTGTCTTCATTACAGGTTGTACATAGTTATTCAAAACTAAATTATCCCCAGGGAGAGAAAGGGTGGGTAATAAGGAAGGTGGTTATGATCAAAGTATTTTTGTGCAAGATGAAAATGTCATAATGAGAACTGAGCATGGTCATGCATGCCTGTAATCCCAGCTATTTGGGAAGCTGAGGCAGGCATATTGCAAATCTAAGGCCAATATAGACAATTTAGCAGGACCCTCTCAAATTTAAAATAGAAAACGCTGGTTAGATAGCCCAGTGGAGAGGAAAATCCTAGCATGTTAAGAGGTCTGAGGTTCAATCAATCAGTAAAATGTCACAATGAAACCCATTGTTTTGTACTATTAATATGTCCTGATAATTAATTTATCTTTGTAATGCTAAGTACTTCATTAAGTACCTTAGAAGACAGTTGAGATTAAGGGTACAGAGTCTGTCCCTTAGTACATAGCCTTTCCAGAGACACATGAGTACTGGTTAAAGTGAATCTAATGGGGCTGGGAATGTGGCTCAGGTGGTAGCACGCTCGCCTGGCATGCGAGCGGCCCGGGTTCGATCCTCAGCACCACATACCACCAAAGATGTTGTGTCTGCCGAGAACTAAAAAATAAATATTAAAAATTCTCTTTCTCTCTCTCCTCTCTCACTCTCTCTTAAAAAAAAAAAAAAAGTGAATCTAATGACCACATGTAGCTGCAGAGAGGGGAGAAGTACGGTGCCATCATTAGTCTAGGGGACCTAGAAGTATTTTGTGAATCATATTGTAAACAATGCTCCAAAAGAAATGCAGATATCATCTAATAGGGCCATGGAAAAGGGACCATGGTAGGATTGGAATGATTTTAGAAAGCAGTCAGCCAGAGGTGAGTCTTCACATTGGGTAGAATGTGAACTAAAAGAAATGAAGGAACGACACATTGGGAATATGCAGAGAATGTTGAGAGAATTGTGAGTGTGTGGCATGTGTCATTTTTAAAATGCATGGTGGGATACAGAACAATAAATTAGACTGAAAATAAACAGATCATGGGTAACTTTTTAACTACAAAATGTTTTGTTTTCTACTTCTACCTTTAATATATTTGTGCACTAATAAACATCTAGAAAGTCTAGAGGTTTCAAATAAGGTCTTAAGTTTGTTCACTATATAAATAGTAGTGTTGAATAAACTATACACATATAACAATGTGTATCTCTGAAAGTATCTTCCTAATTAGGATCATTCTGGTTTAGAATCCTTCCTTTCTTCCACTTCCTTCTCCTGTATCACATGTGATATAGGCACACACAGATGTTACAATTTCACTTCCAAAAGTTCTTTTTGGAAGACTGCCTTTCTATGAATTTTAGCACAAAGTGTACAAAATGTGTGTGTTTACTACTTTTGTCATATATTAACATCTTCTATTACTATTTAGAGACTAGATATTAAAAAATTGGGACCTCTTAGTCTGGTATATGTACAATATATACAGTACAACAAAGTTAAGTGAAATGTGCATTATAGGACAATGTGTAAGTTGAAATTTTTTAGCATGCTTTTTTTTTTTTTTTTTTTTTAACAACATGTTGGTTCTTTATTTGTGTGTGTGTGTGGTTCTGGGAATTGAACCCAGGGCCACATGCTATTTAATGTGACTAATCTGTGGCCTTACCTACTACATACCCTGTCTTTTCAAGGAAGCAAGAAGTATGATATTCATTTTTTAAGAGACTTGTGTTTTTTAAAACTACTATATTTAGTTTCTCTGTTTAGTTTATAAAATGACTCATTTTCTCTTCACGTATTTAATAGGAAGAAGCAGAGGGCAATGATAAAATTAATAAAGCTGTGATTTTTGCCCTAGGGTTTATTTCCTTTCTCACCCAGGTTACTTTTACTTTTGAAATTTTAATAAGAGAAATTTTCCAGTGTTTCTTTTTCTGCTCCTATTGCCCACAGTCTGTAGAACATTTAAATTTTAATATAAATTGTTCTGATTTTCTCAGCAAGAAGTGATAAATGGATTTGGGTATATTTAACATAGATGGAAGGGTAACTTTTCTGAGTATTCCTAAAGTTTTATTATGGCTTTATGTTGTAATAATTTAAGAAGTATATATATTTAAAACAACCAAGAATGTATTTCTCTTATATTTGTATATTTGCAATTTTTATTTTTATTTTTATTTTTTTTTTAAGAGAGAGAGAGAGAATTTTAATATTTATTTATTTTTTCTTAGTTCTCGGCGRACACAACATCTTCGTTTGTATGTGGTGCTGAGGATCGAACCCGGGCCGCACGCACGCTAAGCGAGCGCGCTACCGCTTGAGCCACATCCCCAGCCCAATATTTGCAATTTTTAATAGTTTTTTTTTGGAGACAATTTTACCATGTTACTCAGGCTAATCTTGAACTTGTGGACTTAAAGGATCCTCCTGCTTTAGCCTGTACCGGGTACTACAGACATGTGCTACCACATCTGATTTGAATTATAATTTTTTTATTAGATTTTTATAAATTTGTTTTTGTGTTTATATAATGTTTGCAAGTTTTGTTATACATAGCAAAATAATTACCACAGGTAAATTTATATATCCATCACCTTCTGTAATTACCTTTTTGTGTTAAGGGCACCTGAAGTCAACTGTCTTCGCAGATTTTCAGCATGCAATGTTGTATTTTTAACTGCGGTCCTCATGTTGCACATTGGACCCCTAGACTTATTTGTTCACTAAATGTAATATATCAGTCACAGAAGGAAAAATACCATCTGATCTCACTTATATGCAGATTCTAAAATCAATGCAAAGAATTGGAATCAGAGGGTAGAACAATGGTTACTAGGGGTGGGGAGAGAAAATTTGGAATAGACCAAAAGGTATTGCAGTTCTAGGATGAATGATAATTTTTTTATTTTGATCTATCATTTCAGTCTCTTTGAAGATGGCAAACCCTTGTCATTATCACACTACTCTATTACTCCTTTTGGGTGGGGGTTATTGGAGATCAAACTCAGGGTTTTATGAACACTCAGTGCTTTGTATGCACTCCACCACTGAGCTTCATTCCTGGTCATTATTACTCTTCTTATAAGTCACTAAGTTCTTACAAAAAGCAAGTAAGAGATTTATTTTATTTCTCTAATTACTGGCTTTTGTGATTTTCCTTTTTCCTTCAGAGCCTTTGGACATTCTTCATTGAGAACAACATTTCCCATAGTACGCTAGTGGCGTTATTCTATCACTTTGTTCAAATAGTCCATTCGAAAAATGTCAATGTACAATATCGAGAATATGGTCTTCATGCTGCGGGGCTTTATTTTTTGTTATTAGAAGTACCAGGTATGTATACCTTCTTCTGTCTCCTGTGAGGGTTCAGCATCATCTGTGGATTCAACAAACTATTGGATGGGAAATATTTAAAAAGAAAAATGTTACGCTGTTATTGATGCAATATATATATATACGTATATATATTTAGGCCTTCGTTGGTTGCCTCTATTGAACATGGGCAGACTTTTTTTCTTAAACAGTGCAAACAGTGCAGTATATCAACTACTTATCATTTGCATTGTATTTGGTATTGTATGTAGAGGTGATTTAAAGTGTGCTGGAGCATGTATGGAGGTTACATGCAAATGTGCTATTTTATATTTAAAAAAAAAAAACTTGAACATTCTTGAGTTTTAGATTCTGATGGGGGTCCTGGAACCAATCACCTGCAGATACCAAAGGATGACTGTGCTTGATACAGTAGGACAAATCATTTGTTATTTTTTTTTCTTTCTGTGTTGTTTTCAATTCTTACACATTTTTTTACTTATAAAATGAAGCAGTGGTAACCAGTCTCTTAGAGTTGTTCCAAAGATTAAAGGAAAGCAAGTACATGGCATATTATAGGTGTTTGAAAGATGTCTTTCTCTTTTAACATTAGACGTGTTTGTTTTCTGAAATGATGCTATATCTATAACCTAATACACATAATCTGAGAAGTATCAAACTGGAGGGGGAATGTTCTCAAGTTCAAGAATTCTACTCCCACCCCCTCCCTTGTATAAAATTCTGATACTGTCCTCTTTTGTGACTTACTGTTAAAATTGAGAAAAGCTTCTGTGAGGAGTCATTGTGTTGTAGCTTTCCCATGTGAGTATTAAAAATAGATTAATGCTAAGAGCCACAGCCAAGTAATATGATGCATGGCATTTTTGGTTGAAAGGTAACTGCCAGCTAGCCATTGAGATGATATGATTATGTTAAGATTTGCATTCATATGGATATTGGACTCCTGCTGTTCACCTGGGACTCCTGTAGAGTTCCCATTGGTTGGGGAAGTACAGTAGGAGGGAATACTGGGGGAGGAACTTCCTCTGGGGTTCCGGGAGAAGGCCTCGTGGGTCCATCGGGATTCTCCCCCGGGGCATACGGGGCATTGGCTGCAGTTTCAAAAAATAAAGTTTGTTCCTGCTTGAGTGGCTCGTGATTTTGTGCCTAGCCAGACTGCGGCAGATTAAAACCATTCTAATCAACAAAGTGTGAAAGCAACTAGGAATACTCGATGAAGGAAACAACCGAAAAGGATTCTATTTATGAAATGAAATCTATTCTACTTCTTTTTCCTTGTGCTTGTCATAGTGCTTAGGTTAGCTGTTCTTCCTGTGGGAAGTGAAGAAGTAGAACATTGAGCTGGAGCTAAAGAACCTAAAATTTTGTTTTTCTTTGTGGTGCTGTAGATTGAACCACAGTCCTTATGCATGCTAGGCAAGCACCTTATCACTGAGCTACATGCCTCCAGCCCATTTCTTACAGAAAAGAAAGTCACAGGATTGGTCAACTTGGCCTGCTTGTGTGTATAAATGCATTTGTAATTCATGTTAAGGATTTTTTCACAATGGCTTGGGAACAGGTAAAAAGATATTTAAAACCTTGAACAACAATTTGTGTTATTAATGCTTCCTTAATGACTTGCTCCTAAAGAATTTAGTTGCGAAGTATTGTAGTATCTCAGTTGTAACTGGGCCATTTCAGAAAAGTGATAGTTTTAGAAATTTTGTTTCACTCCTCTCTTTCACTGCCAGATGATTCGGATTGATATTTATGCCTTAGCTATATTCTCGCCAATTACCTTCTGTTTTAAATGTCTCTGCAGTATGGTTGGGATGCTGTTGATACTTAGTATTCATTCACAGTTTTCAAGAGTTTCTTGGCTGTTCCTTATTCCTTACATTTCTGTATGATTTGTAGGTTCTGCATGTGAATTTCTACAAAAAATGACAGCTGGGATTTTGACAGGGATTGCATTGAATCTGTAGATCATTTGGGGGAGTGTTACCATCTTAATGTTTTCTCCCAATCTGTGAATAGAGGATATCTTTTCATTTGTTTTAGGTCTCTTTAAATTTGTTTCAGTGATGTTTAAATGATAGTTTCAGTGTATAACTCTTACACTTATTTGGAATACTTATTCCTAAATTTTTTTGTTTTTTTCAATGCTATTATAAATGATATTGTTTTCTTAATTTCATTTTTGGATTGTTTAGTAGTAGCAATGAGATGATTTTTGATTATTTATCTTGTATCCTTCAGCCTTGCTAAAACTCATTTATTGGTTCTAAAAGAATTTTTTCAACATAAGACCATATCATCTGTGAATAGACACAGTCTTACTAATTTATTTACAATTTGGCTATCTTTTATTTTTCTTACCTTATTGCTCTGGCTAGGATCTCCCATACAATGTTGAGTAGATGTGAACCAGGGCTTTATACAGGTAGGCAAGCACTCTACACTGGCCTGCATCCTAGCTCTTTAAAAAAAAATTACTTTGATAAATGGGCTAAGGATCTGAACAGACACTTCTCAGAAGCAGAAATATAGTCAGTCAAGAAATATATGAAAAATGTTCAACATCCTAGTAATTAGAGAAATGCAAATCAAAACTACACAGAGATTTCATCTCACTTCAGTCAGAATGGCAGTTATCAAGAATACAAGCAACAATAAATGTTGGCAAGGATGTGGGGGAAAAGCTGGTAGGGCTGCAAATTGGTGCAACAACTAAGGAAAGCAGTATGGAGATTCCTTAGAAAACTTGGAATGGATCCACCATTTGACCCAGTTGTCCCACTCCTAAGAGTATACCCAGAGGACTTATAATCAGCATACTAAAGTGACTCAGCCACATCAATGTTTATAGCAGCTCAATTCATAATAGCTAAGCTGTGGAACCAACCTAGGTGCCCTTCAGCAGCTAAACAGATAAAGAAAATGTGGTATACATACACAATGGTGTATTACTAAACCATTAAGAAGAATGATATGACATTAGCCAGTAAATGGATGGATCTGGAGAATATTATGCCAAGTGAAATAAGCCAATCCCAAAGAACCAAAGGCTTGAATGTTTTCTCTGATATACAGATGCTAAATCACAATAAGGGGTGAGGGTAAGAGAATAGAGGTACTTTGGATTAGGCAGAGTGAAGAGTAGGGAATGGGTGAATATGGGAGTAGGAAGGATAGTAAAATGGATAGGAAACTATTACCCTCTGTGCATGTATGATTACATGACTGGTGTAATTCCATATCCTGTACAACCAGAAGAATGAGAAGTTATACTCCATTTATGTATGATGTGTCAAAATGCATTCTATTGTCATGTGTAACTAATTAGAACAAATAAAAAATATAAATAAAAAAAATTACTTTGAGATAGGGTCTCACTAAATTGTCCAGGCTGGCCTTGAACTTGTAATCATCCTGCCTCAGCTTTCCAAACTGCTGGGATTACAGGTACTGAACCCTGTTTTTAATCTGTGTATTTGTATTTGAAGGGTTTCTTACACACTATCTGTTACTGGGTTGTATTTTTTATCCTTCTGATTGTTTAAATTACACTTCATATAATTTCAGTATGGATGGTTGACAACTTGCTATTTATTTTTTGTTTATCCCATTCCATCTGTTTTTGTTCCATTTGTCCCTCTTTCTGTGTTTTTTTGTTGTTGTTTTAATGGTGATTTCTTTAGTACCCTATAAGTCTYCTCTTTTGGTTTATTATCTATGCTTTTTTGAATGTATATAAGTGCTTGATTTGGGTCTATCCTCATATACTATTCTGCCGACTTACACATAATGCAGTAACCTTAAGATGATATATTTTCCTTTCTTCTTTACATAGTTATACAAACTTTTACTTCTATATATTGTAAACTCTATGATTCATTAACATTTCTTCTTTATTTTTATAGAATTTTTTAAATCAAGAAAATAAATAAAAGTTGTCATCTTCATATAATTTTTCTTCAAGAACTTTTATTTAATATTTCTTATAGTGCAGGTCTGATGGAGATCAACTCTCATGGATTTTGAATGCACAAAATGACTATTTCACCTTTAATCATGTTTTTGCCAAATATAGAATTTTAGGTTGATAGGTTTTTTGTATTATATGGGTTTGATTTGCTTCTTTTCATTTGGTAGTCTAAAGATGTTTCATGGTTGTCTCATTTACATATTTACGATGTTTTTGATATAGGCATCTGTGATTTTTTTTTTTTTTCTTGGTACAAGGGATTAAACTCAGGGGCGCTTAACCACCGAACCACATCCCCAGCCCTTTTTATATTTTATTAGAAACTGGGTCTGGACCTTGATAATTTGCTGAGGCTGGGTTTGAACTCAAGATCCTCCTGATTTTCTGGGATCACAGGTGTGTGCCACTGTGACTGCACATCTATGATTTTTAACATAGTTCCTCTATATGCTTTGTGTCTTTTTTGCAAGGAGTAGGGGAGGGTGTTTGATTACTTGTAAGATTTTCTGTTTCAGCAGTCTGATTAGATATGCTTCATTATAATTTCCTTTGTATTTATCATGATTGAGTTCATTAAGTTTATTGGATCTTTGTATTTATAGTTTTCAACAAATTAGGAATTTTTCAGTTACATTTCTTCAGATGTTTTCTTAGCTTCCTTTTTTCTGGGACTCATGGTAGACTGATATTCTTCCATAGGTTACCCAGTCTTTATTAATCTTTTTTAATTTCTATATTTCTACTTTAAGTTTGCTTATTTTTATTTTTGTAATGTCTAATCGACTATTAAAAGCATCCAGTGCATCTGGTGAAAGTTTCTTTTCCAGATCAAGGAAATTCCATTTGATTCATTTCTCTCTTAATTATTCTAATATCTACATTTAAATCTTAAACCTGTTTTTTGTTTTTCCTTTTTCAGTGCTGGGGACTGAACCCGTGGTCTCGTTAAGCACATGCTGTACCACTGGGCTGTATTCCCAGCCCTAATTCTTGAGCTTATTTATAATATCTGCTCTAAAGTTGTTGTCAGGTAGCTCCATTATCCCTGTTATTCTTGGACTGTTTCTGTTGACTAGTTTCTGTTTCATCTCATGGGATACACTTTCCTTGTTTAGCATACTTAGTAATTTTTTTATTGGATGGTAGACAAAGATTAGGTTGTTGAATGTCTGGATTTACGTATGTCTTGATAGACAACTTTTGGTAGAGTAACTTGATTCTATGGAAGCTTTTAAAAATCCTTTATGATGACAGGTAATAAAGCAGCCTTTACTCAACATCTAGTTTAGCCCTACTATTAAGATGTATCTGATTGCTTCAGAGTTCTATCAAGGTCTCCACTCAGGCTGGCTATAGAGTTCAAACTTCTCAATCCTATGTGAGTTGTGAAAATAATTCCTCTTCTGGTGCCTTGGAAAGTTGTTTTTTTTTAGCCAACCATAATGAAGTTTTACCTGACATGTGCATATCTTACATTTAGCCCTATGCAGATTTCTAGAGTTTTATTTTTTAATGTACTCTTCCTTATAAATTCTAGCTAGCCCTGTCTTTCTGACTCTCATTTCTCAATTTAGAAACACCATCATAATCTGTATAGATTTATCATTTCTTTCCTGTTGTCCAGAAATTACTTGTAGAAATAAAACTGAGCCAATTTCAGGATTTACCTTTGTTTCCCTTTTCCTAAGGATTGCTTTCCTTATGCCACTAGTTTCCTGGTGCCTTAAAATAGTTATTGACATTTTGGTCTGGTTTTATATTGTTTATGGTAGGTGGGCAAGTATAAAATCAATTATTCTGTCATAGCCAGATGAAGGAATACTGTTATTTCTAATTCAACACTATTGCTTACCCAACAGGCTGAAGTTAAAAATGATCCTTTTTTTTGCCAAAGGATGATTATTATTTACAGTTAATGAAAAGCCTATATTTTACTTTTTTAACTTTATCATCTGTTGTTATAGATGTATCTCAAGATAATTATATGTAAGTTGCTTATTCTTTATTTTTAAAAATTTATATATAACCACGGAATGCATTACATTTTTTATTACATATATAGAGCACAATTTTTCATATCTCTGGTTGTATACATAGTATGTTCACACCATATTCTTTATTCTTTATGACTAGGTAGTGTAGCCAATCAAGTATTTCACCCAGTAATGTTTGACAAGTGCATTCAGATTCTAAAGAAGAGCTGGCCTCAGGAATCTAACTTGAATCGAAAAAGAAAGAAAGAGCAACCTAAGAGCTCTCAGGCTAATCCAAGGGGGAACAGAAAAAGAGGAAAGCCACTCAGGAAAGAGGATACTGAGGTAAGAAGTAAGTGGAATAATAAAATGTATTTATACAAAAACAAGATTTTCATCATGGTTATAACCAAAAGATCTTAAACTCTCATCTGCTATCCTCTATGAGTTGAGGTTGCCTCTTAGGCTTTGTATAGTACTGAAGTCATGTTTCTGCCTTGTCATCTTTTACCCTCATCATCATCTTTCCATAGGCTTATTCCCAAGTGTGCTTGGCAGCGTGCTAACTGGTATAATTTTTGCATTATCTTGCTGTCATTAGAGAGGGTGGTTGAAGTATCCCGAGGACTCATGTTCATGAAAATAAAATAGCATGATTTCCAAATTCTTATATGACAGAATAGGATGGTAGCATTTACTGACATCAAAACATCTTAGAAACACAAGATTTTTCATTGACAAAAAATAGAGAGGTAAGAAACTCCCATAGTAGTCATCCAGTTCAGTGATTACTGCTTGACCATGGAGACCTGATCAAAGTCACATCACATCAGCAACTCAGCTACTGCCTGGAGTTTAGCTGGCCTTGATTTGGATAAAGTGAAAGGCATGGGACAAAGTATTAGGCATTACTAAACAGTCACTTATACATTTTTTGCTAATCCAGATAGATGAAATCATAGAAGAAGAAGAAGATGATGAAGAGAATATTTATTATTCTGCCCGGGACCTTTCTCAAATTCGAAATGCCATCTTTCAACTTTTGAAGAATTTTTTAAGACTTCTGCCCAAGTTTTCCCTCAAAGAAAAGCCACAGTGTGTACAGACTTGTATAGAGGCAAGTCAAAATCCAAATAATTTTAATTTGAAAGGTATAGATCATAACTGATAATTTGTAGAGTAAGAAAAATTACACCTTTCCTTGGTATTTCTCTTCCAGGTCTTTGTCACATTAACTAATTTTGAGCCAGTTCTTCATGAATTTAATGTTTCACAAGCCAGGTGAGCCATTGAATCTTTCAGTGCTACAATTTAAATATTGTATAATAATTTTGATCCAACAGAAGTATAGGTGCTATTTTATTCTAATTGGAGTATGGGTGGAACTTATTCATTTAAATACTAATTATAGATGAGCCCTGAGAGAGTACACACCTCTAGTCCCAGCTACATAAAAGGCTGAGGCAGGAGGATTGCTTGACTCCAGGAGTTCAAAGTCAGCACAACAGAGTAAGACTATATCTCAAATAAATAAATAAATAAATAAATAAATAAATAAATAAATAAAATAAAAAATACTAATAAAACAAGGCTTATAGGGTCAAGGAATATTCCTAGTGAAATCTTGTCTTTTAACCATTGTTTTGCCTTTTTTCTTTAGAAACCTTAACCAAGCAAAGTACATTCCAGAACTGGCTTATTGTGGATTGTATTTGCTGTGTTCCCCAATTCATGGAGAAGGAGATAAGGTAAAGGAGAGAAGGATTTAATTTAGCTACTAGTTGTATTGAAAGAAGGCAAATCACATAATGGAAAGGTGTTAAAAAAATTGATAGCTGGATGTGATGGCACATGCCTATAATCCCAGCTACAAGGTAGGCTGATGCCAGAGGATAATGGGTTTGAGGCCAGTCTGGGCAACTTATGGAAACCCTGTCTAAAATAAAATTTTAAAAAGTGCTGGGGATATAGCTCAGTAGTAGAACACCCTTGGGTTCAGTCCCCAGTACAAGCACTCAGTGGCTGAGTGCATGGCCCTTGGTTCAATTCTCAATACCACCAAAGAAAAAAATCCTGGTTTCACTTCCCAAGATTTCAGGTTCCTATAGTCAATTGCAGGGAAGAAGAAGGATGAGCATGGTGAGTATGGCACAATAAGATTTCTTTGTGTGTGTGTGGTACTGGGGATTGAACCCAGGGGCACTGTAACACCGAGCTACATCCCCAACAACCAAAAATTTTCAGACATTTTGGGTCAGTTTTACAGTTGTTCACGATAGTAGGAGGGCAAGTATAAAATCAGTTACTCTGTCATAGCCAGATAAGGAAATACTGTTTTTTCTAATTCAACAATGTTGCTCACTCCTAAGCTAAAGTTGAAAATGATACTTTTTTGCTGAATGTCTTAAATCTAACTAAGTTGTGAAGGCTGACCTCTAACTTGTGATGGCCCTGCAGTCATCCTCCTGAGTTGTTAGGATTGCAGGTCTGCACCACTATGTCTGGCTTTATTAAGATACTTAGAGAAAGACACTACATTCACATAACTTTTATTATATATTTATATATGTTGTAATTGTTCTATTTTATTGTGAAGTGTTCTTGTTAATTCTCTTAATATGCCTAATTTATAAGCTAAACTTTATCATAGGTATATACACATAGGAAAAAACCTAGTATACAGTATAGGGTTTAATATTAAACAGTTTCAGGCATCCACCAGGGGGTCTTGGTATATATCCTCTGTGAATAATGGTCAACTGCTGCAATACCATTTTAATTTACTAGATCATTTGCAAGAACTTCTATTACTTGTAAGATAAAAACTAGCACTATTTCTGTTTGCTGTCCAGTTTCATTGTCAAGTTTATATCCAATATATTTGATAGCTTCGGGAAAGGTTTCAGACAAAAACAAATGGTTCTGGTGTGAATTAAGTAGGAAGAACAGATAAACTGCTGCACAGTTACTAGTACAGAAATATTCATCAAATTGTTTTAAAAAGAATAGACAGAATTTTCAAGTTTCCCTTGTCAATTCATGTGTGCCCAGTATATCTCTTATTATTTGTATTATTTTAATTGATATTCTACAGAAATTTTATAGGAGTTCGTAATGATATCTGTATTCCGCCCCCTAAATTACCTCAGTATTTTTGCCAATAAGCATCATAGTTAGGGTAATCATTAAGTCACAGGACTTTGATCTATCACACCTCCCCCTCCCCCACCCAGTTTTCTGTTCTAAGTCCTGTGACTTTTAGTGGCTATCATATGGTTAACTTACAGAGGCAGTATGTGGTGGGTAAAAACATTTTGGGGAGCACTTGGGGTTCTACCTATCTGTGTTCAAATTCTGACTCCACTACTTATTAACTACATATCCTTGTATGAGTTACTCAACCTTGTGAAAGCTTGAGGTTTGTCATAGGATTAAATGAAATTAAGCATGCCAAACACTGAGCAAAATGTCTATTTAGAGACCTTTAAATTATTATTATTTAGAGACCTTTAACTTATTATATGTCATTTCTTTGAAATTTAACTGTAGATGTAATTCACAGAAGTATTTTTAATTTTCATGCCCTTTTTAACATTTTAAAAGATAAAATAAATAGGAAATGCATCCTTTTAGGTCCACTGTATCTCTACAAATGGTGTGTCTTTTAAATTGTGATAATATTGACTTGAGGTTAGGCAACTTGGTTTTAGCCTGATCTTTAATTACTTGTCCTGGGACAACCCACCTTTGGAGTTTCTTTTGTTATCTGTAAAGTGGAAACTATACATTGTCCTGCTTACCTCATGGAGTTGTTGAGAAGCTTAAAACTAAATACAGTAAAGTCTAGTTATATATATGAAAGGGCTTAATGCAACACCTACCACATACTTAGTTTTGCAGTAAGTAAATGTTTTATTTGCCAGGTGAAAAAATTATATGCAATGATATCTTGGAAGGTGCTTTGTAAACTTCAAGTGAAATATAAGTATAAGGTATTCTCTCCCCACTTTTTAATGAGGGGATTTTAATAGTATTGTTTACTATTTATAATTGGCAGTTCTCCTCTTGCCCTAAATTCTGGGTTATAATATGCAGGGAATGGGGAGAGAAACTAGAACAAGTTCTTATTGTTAACTTAAAGCAGTTCTTTCAAAGTATTTACATTGTTCATTTATTGAATAGCTAATTACCTAAGAAATATATCCCCAGTGTTTAGCCAGAAATTCTTTTAACTCAGCCTCTTTTTAGATGGCTCAAAATGGTTTACTATAGTCTATATACTACTTTTGAGGCTCATGGACTCTCTTATATCTTAAATTGACTTTTCTTTTCTCTTCTAGGTTATTGGTAGCATTTTCCATCAAATGCTAAATGTAATATTGATGTTAGAAGTAAAAGGATCCCATCGTGCCCCCCTTACTATTACGTCACAAGTCATTAATCGTAGAAACCAAGCAATCCAGTTTATCAGGTGAAGCACACAAATGTTGAATTTTTACTCTTATCACATTCCCTCAGTTACCTGGGCCCTGCACTAACATAATTTCTGACATTTTTTATGGAGTTGGAATATGTATCCCAGTGGTAGTTTTATGAGTCAAAATAATTTGGTTCTTGTGGTCTTTATCACTGCCTCTGCATTTTGAGATAGACAACCTATAATCTTGGGTCAGAGCCATCCTCTAGGTTAATTCCAGTCATCCATGAGATCAATTGCTAAGAAAGGACAGTTGCCTCATTTTCTATCATTTTTGCTTGTGTTCACCTCTGCAACAGAAAAGGAAGTTGGACTCCTTCTTCATTTCTGTTTCTAGTCTTTTTGCTTTTGTTCTTCTTCCATTTTCCCCTTTTTCTTCTAATTTTTCTATTCCCCTCTTCCTACAGAAGATAATTCCTGAAGGAAAAAAGTAAATTGCTTTTACTTCCTTAGCAAAAATTGAAAGACTACTTTTCCTCCCACAAATCACTCAACTCTGCTTAAAAATTCCATCATTAACTTTATTGGGAAAGATATGTTTGCTGTGTCCTTGGCTTTTTTTTCCTTCCTTCCTTATTTCTATTATAGCATGGAAATGCAGAAGAGAAGTGGTATGTGCACATGAAAGTTTTACATACCTACAGGTGTGTGGTGTGGTTGGAGATGTGGTATGTAGATGGTATCTGGTCACTGAGCAAATGTCCCTCACTAAGGACTTATGTAAATATTAAACAACTGTTTTAAAAGGAAGCACTGTCACTTTAGATTTGATAGTTTTTACAGTTCATCATGTTTCTAGTTATAATAATACTCATAATAGTACAAATAAACTTAATGCTAAAAGTGGATCAAGTCTGGGCATTACAGTAATTTCTTTTGAAGAAGTAATGTTACAATTGCATTAAAGTATCAGCATTTCATTTAGCTGCCACAAGGTGGTACTGTGTCTTAGTCTGTTCTTATATTTACCCTAAAAGGATATAGGATATATTTTACATCTTAATATGAAATTTAATAATTAGTCAAAAGAGTTTTATGAAGATTTTATTTTTTACTCTTCCGTGACAGTTCAGCTTCTCAGCAGCAGCTCTCTTAATCACTGCATAGGAAGTCCTTGACAGTTTTGTGCTGATATAATATATATAATTTTTTTAAAAAAAGAATATATATATATATATATATATATATATATATTTATTTATTTATAAAGTGTATATATGTTAAATATATATAGTATATACATTTCCTTAAGATATATCTTTATTCTTTATTTTACTGAAATAGTTCTTATAATATGGGAGTAGATAATGTATAGGATTGTTTTTAATATTTGGGATTTCTAATAATTTTTGAGGACAGAGTCAAGGGAAATAACTATTATGTTTTGAAAAAGAGGCATATTATAAGCAGTTGGTATGTTTTCTTTTAAATAGCTCACTTGTGGATGAACTAAAAGAAAGTATATTTCCAGTCCTTCGTATTTTATTGCAGCACATCTGTGCCAAGGTATCATTTGCATTACTACTAGTAGCAAAAGTAATAGTAATAATAGTAATATTATAATAATATGTAAGTACATAACTATTAGGAAGTGTGTGCCTGTATTTGTTCTTGGGAATGAGTAGTTTATTTAATACTTGATGTTTTCCAAAACAGTGGTTTTTTGTTTTTTTTTTCAAAAAAATAAGCTTTATATTTTAGAAAATATTAAACACAGAAACAGAGTTGTATGATAATCCACCAAATAAAACAAAACCCATTTTTACCAATTTTGTGTTATTTGTTTATTTCTCCCCAACATATTTTTGGAGTAAATTCCATCATATCTTTTCACTCATAATATTTCACATGTATACTCCGTAGTATAAGCATTTTAAAACATAACCTAAACAAAACAGTAATTCTCTAATATTATCCACTGGCAAGTCAATGTTCATTTCCATGAGTATCTTAAATTTATGTGACTGTTTTGACAAATGTTCTTAGTTTGAACTCTATGGGCCCTGGAGATCTATAGACTCTTAAATTGTATACTAAATTTGTATTTGCATTTTCCTAGAGAGAGGATTTATGGTTTAATTTTCAAATGGGCCTGAAACCTAAAATTTATAAGTCATTTACCTAACACTTAAAGATTATTCAACTAGCTATTCTCACTAATGTTCAACTTGTATTACAACATGTGTTTCACTTGTCCTATAGGAGGTTATTAGCTAGACAACTTTTCTCTTTCTGTGTTTCAGGTGATAGATAAATCAGAGTATCGTACTTCTGCAGCTCAGTCCCTGGTTCAGCTGCTCAGTAAACTTCCTTCTTCAGATTATGCTACATTCATTGCCTGGCTTTACAAATACTCACGAAGTTCTAAGGTAGGCAATATGTCTGCATGAAATCCTGGGTTCTGACTCTGCAAACCTCTAATGACAGCCAGATCTGAATAAAGAAGGGTTTCTTTGGTTCTCCTACTGATGGTAATTCTTATGATTTTACTTTACCAGATCCCACATCGGGTTTTTACTCTTGATGTTGTCTTGGCTCTCTTAGAGCTGCCTGAAAGAGAGATAGATGGCACTCTCTCCTTGGAGCATCAGAAGTTCCTTAAGCACAAATTCTTGGTGCAAGAAATTATGTTTGATCGTTGTTTAGACAAGGCACCTACTGTCCGTAGCAAAGCACTGTCCAGCTTTGCACATTGTTTGGAGTTGTCCATTAGCAATGCATCAGAGAGTGTATTGGAGCTCCTCATTAACAGTAAGTAGGAGAGGCTGAGGGCATATCTCAGTGGTAGAGTATATGCCTAACATGTTCAAGGCCCTGGCTTCAAACCAAAGCACCATTAAAAAGGGGGAAAAAAAAAGAATCAAGAAATGGACTGCAAAATGATCATTCTTTGTTATGGCAAAAATAATGGATCTGATATGATTAAATTTCGCTCTCATAAATCATTTTGAGTATATTTGGGGGTAGGGGTGTTGGGAATGGAATCTAGGGCCTTGCACTTGCTAGGCATATGCTCTGCTACTTTTCTGTACCTCCAGCTTCAAATGACTTTTAAAATAGGGAAGCCTGATTAATTTTAAAGTTCTTTGTAAAGAATGTCATATATTCATATTTTAGAGGTAAAGTTGTTGTCTGCCTTTCCAGTTACTTTGTGGTGTGGGGCATTGCATTATAGGGCCATATGTTCCCTTCTAGGAAACATTATCAATTGTCAGCTATTTAGAATACATTGCTTTGTCTTTAGGTCTGATTATCTTGCATTTGATTCCTCTATGGATTCTTACTCAGGGTTCATGACACTTTTTCCCTGTTATGTATCTGCTTATTTTTAGGTCCGATAGTTTCACAACTAGGGACTCATACTGGTACCTTACTGAGAAATTCATCAGGTAATATATCAATATATTTTTAAATATTAATAATTGTTTTTAAAGACTTGCTAAACATTTGAAATATTTTTTCTGCCACCATATTTACCTGTTTTAATGTTGTACTTTGCTTCTTTGTATCAAAGAAGTTCATTTCAGTAATAACTTAGTAACTTAAGTGAGGAACATGTCTTGCTGATACTATTAAAAATGTAACAGATTTTTTCCTTAACTAGTGTATTTTTTTTTTCCCTAGCTTTTTCCTACCAGAGACAGACAATTAACCCTTCTGAACCCTCAGGGGAGTTGGACATAAACAATAGTGGTGAAGTTGGATCTAGAGGTATGTCAGATTTTATCATTATCAAATGGATAGTACTAAAAATTTTTAATTTTTTTCTTATTTACTCTTAAGAATTAAGACACTTGCTTAAAAGTAAAATAATCTCTATTTTATCCTTAATTGATGCCTTTGTACTATACTGTATTTCACTTTAAGATGTAGAATAAAGTATTTCCTAGTTATCATGTACTAAGCCCCAGTGTACTGTAACACTACAGAGAACATTAGCAAATATTTTAATTTCTTATTAAAATAGAGTGTTGTGTTGTGACACACGCCTGAAATCCCAACATTTTGGGATGCTGAGTCAGGAGGATCATAAGTTCAAAGCCAGCCTCGGGAAAAACAAGGTGCTAAGCAACTCAGTGAGACCTGTCTCTAAATAAAATACAAAATAGAGCTGGGGCTGGGGCTCAGTAGTTGAGTGCCCCTGACATCTGGGGTAAACCTCCATCCCCCGCTCACCTGCCCCTGAAAAAAATGTTACAAACTCTTGGGATTGCTGGTCAAAAAAAGAACTAGTTACTAGGGAATGTTCAATAGAGATTACATTTGTGTTTGGGGAAAGGTCACCACAAAGAAGGGGGAAAGACAAAACAATACCTGATCCTGTTTCTTTTGTCATTCCAGAATCCAATTAATATGTTATTGTGCTGTGAACATTTTTTAAAATTTTTTACATTTTTTTTTTGTTCTAATTAGTTAGTTATATATGACAGTAGAATACATTTTGACACTTCATACGTAAATGGTGTATAACTTCTCATCTTCTGGTTGTACATGATGTAGAATTACACAAATGCTATGAACATTCTTCTATTAGTGTAGACACACACTGAAGTGGAACTGCTGGGTCATGCTGTAGCTATGTTTGACATTTTGAGGAACCGTAACTTTTTGTAATAGCTATACCATAATTGCAGTGAGTAATATGTGAAACCCAGGGTGCTTTACCACTGAGCTATGTCCCTAGCCCTTTTCATGTTTTATTTTGAGACAGAATCTTGCTAGATTGCTGAGACTGTTGATTTTACAATCCTCCCGCATTAGCCTCCTAAGTTACTAGGATTACAGGAATGTATCACCACCGTAACTAAGTCAAATATTTGATTTTTGAATGTTCTTTTCTGTGGGTTGTATTTTCACTTTCTTCATAGTGTTATTTGAGGCACAAAACATTTAATTTTTAAATTAAATTTATTTATTTTTTCTTGTGCTTTGCATGTCACAGCTAAAAAAAAAAAAAAAATTACCTAATCAAAGTCGTAAAGATTTACTTACTCCTAAGAGTTTCATAATTTTAGTTCTCATAATTAGGTCTTTGATCAATTTTGAATTAATTTTTGCATGTGTGATGATATTGGTTCATTCTTTGCATGTAAGTATCCAGTTGACATAGTCCTACTTGTTTGAAAGATGATGTTATTGGCAACTTTGTCAAAAATAAGTTGATCAGATATGTGTGAGTTTATTCCTGTACTCAATATTATACCATTGATCTAATATCTGTTTGCATGCCAGTACCACCTTTCATTAATTACTGTTGTATTATAGTGCAGAAGAGGAAAATTAATATTTTCCTCAACCCTCATGAGTTTTCAGTTGGAATGAATCCATGAAACAAAAGATAGATTGATGAGAAACTGAGAAATCTTAATGGGAAGTAACTCAAAGCAGTGGCTTAAACTCTACTTACCTCACCCCTTCAATAACAAGCAATTAATTTGTGGGAAAATACAGTGGGGGGGTGCAGTTTTAGGTTTGTTTGCAGATTCCTTTGGTGCTGCCTTTGGACTATAAAAATCCAGAGTTGTCTCCAGTAGAAGAAAGTTTATATCCTTTCTTTGTACAGAAAACAGAAAGGATAAAGAAAGGTTTTCCTCTGTTTTTTTTGAACTGGGGATTGAACTCAGGGGCACTCAACTACTAAGCCACATCCCCAAAGATTTACTCACAATCTATTTTGTATTTTATTTAGAGACATGGTCTCACTAAGTTGCTTAGCGCCTCACTGTTGCTGAGGCTAGCTTTGAACTCTTGATCCTCCTGCCTCAGCCTTTTAAGCCGCTGGGATTAGAGGGGTACACCATTGTGCCCGGCTTGTTTAATGCTTCTTGATTGCCTTTACCTCAAAAATTTTTGTTTCAAGAGTCATTAAGGTGCTGATTTCCTTCAATAATAATTCTTGAAATCAGAAAGTATAAGTTCTCCATATTTGTTCTTTTTCAAAATTGATAATTAGGGTCCCTCATATTTCTATACAAAATTTAGGATCAATTTTCATTTTCTACAAAACATGCCATATTATATTTTCAAAGGGATTGATCTGTAGATCACTTGGGACTATTGCCATCTTACTGTGATAAGTCCCCTATTTCTTGAAGATTGGATTTCTCATTGTTTGGGTCTTTAGTTTGTTTCAGTATTTTTGTTGTTGTTGTTTTCATTTGAGCAACTCTTTAAATTTAATTCCATGTATTTTGCTCTTTTTGTTGCTATTATAAATAAAATTGCTCTTTTTATTTTAAATTGTTCATTGTTTTTACAAATGATTTTTTGATTATTGATATTGTATCCTGCAATATGCTTACCTTGTTACTAGCTCTAATATTTGTGTGTGTGTGCGTGTGTATGTATGTGTGTATATATTCTTAGGATTTTCAATATAGAACATCAAGTCACCTATGAATAGTGATAGTTTTGCTTCTTCCTTTCTAAACTCGTTGCCTTTTGTTTCTTTTTCTTACCTATTTGCTGTAAGTAAACTCCATAGTACAGTGTTTCATAGAGAAAGGAAGCATAGACATCTTGGTTTTTCCCTGTATTTGAGGAAAGCTTTTGGTCTTCACCATTGAATATGATGCTAGCAATGTTTTCTTCCTCCCTTCCCCCGGGATAATCAGTATGAGGAAGTTTCTTTCTATTCCAAATTTGTTGAACATTTTTATAATAAAAAGTGTTTAGGTTTTGCAAATGCCTTTTCTGCATCTATCAAGATGATTGTGTAGTTTTGTCCTTTATTCTGTCACTATCACTTTTATGTCATTAGATTTTCACACATAGAATCAATATTTCATTCCTTGCACAAATCCCAAGAATGGTGTATGATACTTTTTTATCCTGATGGATTTGATTTCCAGTATTTTGTTTAGAATTTTAGTGTTTCTTTTTATAAGGGATACTAATCCCTTGTTTTCTTGAGAAGTCTTTGTCTGTTTTGCTGTCATAGCAGTACTGTCCTAGTATGAGGTAGGAAAGTATGTTCTTCTCTTTTACCTTTTGAATAACTTGTGAAAGATTTGTGTTCATTTTTATAATTTGGTAGAATTCTACAGTAAAACCATCTGTTTCTTAGCTTTTGTATATGTGCAGTATGAAATTTTTTGATGACCAGTTCAGTCTCTTTCCTTGTTATAGGTATATTCAAATTTTCTATTTTTTAAGTCACTTTTGTAGTTTATACCTTTCTAGAAGTATGTAATTCTATATTTTATTTTCTAAGGTGCCTTCTTATATATCTGCAGTTCCCAAAGTGTGGTTTGGGGGTCCTGAGGAATAACTAAGCCTTTTCCTAAGCCTCTTCCAGGGGGCCTTGAAATGAATACTTTGTTCATAATAATATCAAGACATCATTGACTTTCCACACCATGATTGCAAGTGTAAATTGGAGTTTTCCTGAGGTCCTGAGATGTGTGAAATCATGACAAACAGAAGTGCAAATCCAGCTGGCTTTTATTAAACCAAACATTAAAGACTTTACAAAAATGTAAAACATTGCCACTCTTTTCATTTTTTTTGTCTTTGTTTTATTTTGGAAAATAAGAGTTATTTTTCATTTTAAAAGTGCATGTCTTACTATTTTGAAACAAATTTTAAAGTCCAGGCACGGTGGCTCACCCCTGTAATCCCAGCAATTCAGAAGTCTGAGGCAGGAGGATTGTAAGTTCAAGGCAATTTAGCAAGACCCTGTCTCAAAATTTAAAAATAAAAAGGGCTGGGAATGTAGCTCAGTGGTAAAGTGCCCCTGGGTTTAACAAAACAAAACAAAGCATTTTAAATGTTTTTATAATTCTCAATTTAAATTTCTAACTCATTAAAAATTATAATTCACATTATAAAAAGTTCTTTGGCACCTTTAGCAATTTAAGTGTGGAAAGTTTAAAGTGACTGTTATATATTATCTCATTGAATTTTTTAAAATAACCCTATGGGTTAGAGAACCCTGTTTACAGTTAAACAAAATAGAAAAGCTAAATAATTTTTAGAGGTAAGTTCCATAAGCTAATTGAGAGAGTTTTTAGGAGGAGCGTATTTTCTCATTATTGGGTGGTGAAATGTTAGATAGCATCCTGTGTTTTTCAGGAATAATTTTTGATGTTTCCTCAACAGAAAGATGTGTTATGGCAATGTTGAGAAAGAGAATCAGGGACGAGAAGACAAATGTCAGGAAGTCTGCGGTTCAGGTGGAGATTTTTCTATGCCTTTAAAAAAATACTCTTTGTAAGCACTAAAAACTTGGAAATACAAAGCAATATTTTTAAAACTTCAAGGCCATATTTATTACTTAACTTGACTTTTCATAGTTGACCCTAGTTCTGTTATAGATTAATTGTACAGAAGAATTATCTGCTTTTAAGCTTTTTTATTGGTTGTTAGCTTTTTGAAAAATCACAAATTTGTATCTATAATTTGTTTTGTTTAGATTCTTAATCTGGGAACCGTGGATGAATTTCCATAGGTTTGTAAAATTGATGGAAATTTTAAAAAATTTTATAAATATAAAAATTTTTGTCTGGAGAGGGGCCTTAGCTTTCATCAGATTGAAAAGTTGCGATGCTGTAGGGAACAGGGATGGATTGATACATGACTCTCAAAATGTTAAGAATCACATTTTTTAAGTATCCCTTGTCTTTGGTTTTTCTATACTTGAGCTATAATCATCACTTCTTATTGTTTATGTGCCTTCAGGTATTAGTGAATATTTTGAAACACTCTGACATCTTGGGTATGGAGGAGGACTTGTTGACTCTACAGGACCTCTGTCGGGACCCCGCAGTATCTGTCCGGAAGCAGGCCCTACAATCTCTTACTGAACTTCTTATGGTGAGAGGCAAAGCATTATGTATCTAATGCATGGTATTTTACATTAAAAGTAATTCTAGTGCTGGAGGTATAGCTTAGTGGTAGAGCATATATTTTTCATGTTCAAAACCCCTGGGCTCAATCCCCAGCACAAAACAAACAAACAACAGCAACAAATAAAAAACAGTGATTCTACATAATAATGGCCTGTTTCTAGTGTATAGTTGACTTGGTAGAAACTACTGTATAGTGTAAAAGAGATAATCTTTCAGTCTTACAATTATATATGATAGACTGTGCTTCCTATTAAATATAATTAGGAATTACTGCTGAATGTTAATGCATTTTCTTGAATTCATTTTAAATCTCAGATAGGAAAAAAGAGTTTCTCAGGATGAATTTGGTTAAGCTAGAGGCCAAGATTAATTTTTGTCAATTAAGATGTATGTAAATGATACTGTTAAAAACAGGTCCATTAATTCTATAATTTGCTTCTGCCAACTAATTGGCTATTCAGAAGTTTAAAACCATATTTATTTCTTTATTTCATGAGAGAAGTCTTTAAGAAATCCATATTTTTACTTTTTCTATCAGTATTTAATTATTCCTTGGGATAAAATAAGTTTAAAATATCAGTATGTACTAGTTTATAATAAGCTGGAGATTGAACTTTTAGACTTTTAATAGCATCAGACTTTCTAATATATAATTTTTTAATCCTTAGACCCAACCTAGATGTGTCCTGATCCAGAAAGCCTGGCTGATGGGGGTCATCCCGGTGGTGATGGACTGTGAAAGCACTGTGCAGGAAAAGGCCCTGGAGTGCCTGGACCAGCTCCTGTTGCAGAATATTAAGCATCACAGTAAATTTCATGGGGAGGATGACAACCAGGTACTCGCATGGTCACTTCTTGCCCTCCTCACTACAGAAAGCCAGGAACTAAGGTATGTTAACTATATGATTTTTGCTTCTCATAGAAGGCTATATGACTTTTTAATAATAAATTTTTTTATTGCAAGTATTTTGGCATTTTTGTGGTGACTGTTTTTGTGTCACATTTGATTGCTTTCTTTGTTCCCCTCTGTCTCCTTTTCAATTTGATCTGGTATTTAAATATCTGTTACATAGCATTGATGGATGCATCATATTAGTACCTTTCCCTAATACTGGTTATTATGAAAAATGACTTACAAATTAAACTTTTTGTAACACTTTATTGGATTGGTGGACATTGCAATACTTTTTCCATTTGATAATATTTATTGAGCTTATACTACATATAGTGAACATTTTGTTAAGGGTGCATGCATAATGATACATTTTAATCTGTATTGTAGTCATCTTATAATTGATTTGTGTGTGAGCTATCTTGGTTGCTTTTTTCTTTTTCTTGTATTTCTTTATCATTCCACGAATATTTCCCTACTTTTTACATATAGTTATGGAAGAATAATACAATAGAAAGAGTAATAGAATTGAGTATCATAAAATACCACTCTGTGACCGTGGCAAATTACTACTTCTTTCAGGGCCTTGATTTCCTCATTTGCAAGAGCAGCCAGTTGAATTGCATAAGGTCTCTTTTTATTCTCTTTTGTTCTATTTTTTTATTTATTCTTTTTATTCTATTTTATTCTTTATGACTAAAAAAACATTCATTCAGTAAATATTTTCTCACTACCAACTAGGTGGCTTTACTGAGGTTTCCTAGAAGGGAGGGATTTAACCAGCAATAGAATCAGCTGATTTTTGTTGTTGTTGTTGTTGTAGGGCTATATTATTATGCACACCCAATGTAGTAAAATTTCACGGTAAAATGATTAAAAGTAGAATCAGTTTTTCACATAAACACAAAAAGAAGTCTATGATAGCTCAAGAGACGCTTTTGGGAGGTTTATTACATTTTTTTTCTTTTTTTTCAACATTTTATGTCTCAGTATATACATAGAGGTACATAGAAAATTAAACAAACCATTTTACAAAGAAAATATACCCATGTAACTACTATCTAGGTCTAGAAATAGACCATTGTTGGGCCCAAGAAGTACCCTCAATCTCCTGCCAGCCAGCCTCCTTCTCTCTTTCTTAGGGGGAGCTACTCTTGTGATTTTAACACCACATATTACTTTGCTTTATTCTTGAACTTTATATAAATGGAATTCTGTGGTATGTCTCTTGTGAGTCTAGTTCCTTTCATTCAGCATAATGTAAAAGTCATTCAGATTATTATGTCAATCATTCATTTTAATTCCTGGACACACACACACAAATACACATAAGTGTGATATTTGTGACTGAAACACAATCAAATTTATGTTGTGAACATTCATATACATATCTTCATATACACATCTATTGGGTATATATGTAGGAAATTTATTGTTAAATAAATAATGTTTGTATTCATCTTTAAATTAAAACTGCTAGAATTTTCCAGAGTGGTCATTGCAATTTACATTTTTACTATTAAGGTATTTCAGTTGTTCTGTGTCTCAAACAGTATTTTGAATTTTTTTTTCTTTTGGTGAGTGAAATCGGTATTTCATTGTCTTCAGTTTATACTCCATGTTGACTAATGAGATTGAGTCTTTTTTCATGTGGATTACCACTTAAACATTCATATTTGTGAATTACCTGTTAAGGTCTCTTGTCTTAGTTTTTATTGGATTGTTACTCTTTTGCTTATTCATCTGAAAGTGTTCATTACATTTTCAGTATACAAGCTTATATATTGCACATGTCTTCTCCCACTCTATGGTTTACCTTTTTACTCTTTACTACTACTTCTTTTTTTTTTTTTTTGTTGGTAGAGATTAAACCCAAATAGGTTGTTCTTAATTCTAGTTCTGTTTTACTCCTTTTTTGTATATCTGTTTCCCTTTTGGTATCACAGATTTAATTATTGTGGCTCTGTTGGTTCTCTATAGTAGAGTAAGTCTTGTGTTGTTCTCCCCTTGTCCTTGTATAGTTCTTTGATATTATTTATTTATTCCAGGCTTTATTCATATGGCTTGGAATATTCCACTATTAAATCTTTTTACTGAATTATTATTGCATTTTTTATTTCTAGAATTTTTATTTTGTTACAGTTTTCAGTTTTCTGTTGAAACTGCCAATCTTGTATTTTGCTTTCTTGCTTATGCTAGGCATAATGACTTTAGATTTATGCATCTGATAACTTCACTGGTTGGGCGAAGTCTGCTTTGTATTTTTGGTATGTCTTATGTACTCATATACTGTTGCATGCTAGAAAAATTATAAAAATTGATCTGTACTACCTTCCTAAGGCCAATATCAAAAATTACCAACCAATTCATATGGATCAGATAATATTCTCTGAGCATTAATAGTAAGGGTTAAAAAGCCACAAACAAAACATTTAAACATTTCCACGGTCAGAGACCAGTGAATTAGTTTTGAAACTGTATATACAGAAAAACTTGAAGAATCATATAATGGGGTACTTAGAAAGAAATGTATAATGTTAAATATTTAGAAAAGGTAACAGACTGGCCAGGTGTGGTGGTGCAGCTTGGGAGGCTGTAGCAGGAGGATTGCAAGTTTGAGGCCAACCTCAGCAACTTAGTGAAAAACTGTATCAAAAAATAAAAAGGGAATGTGGCTAAGTGGGAAAGCACCCCTGGGTTAAATCCCTAATACCAAAAAAAGGGGTGGAGGGGAAGCACAGACTGAAAATTAACCACCTATATGTTTACCTTAAATTAGAAAAAGTAACTGAGTAAGCTTGAAGAAAAATACCAAAAAAATAAGAGCAGATATTACTGTACAAAGAAAAACCAAGTCTTCAGAAAGTTTAATGGAAAGGACAAACTTCTATTGAGATTTGCCAAGAGTAAAGAGAAGACACAGATAAATAGTATTATCAGTGAAATGGGTGGTAAAATTACAGTCATATAAATTTCTAAAATGTTTAGAATATATTACTATTTTTATAAAACAGTATAGTTCTTCATACTTGTTTTTTATTTAAAGTTTTCATTGATATAGTCCCCTATATTAATTTGCTATGGTTGCCATTACAAAATACCACAGAATATATTTCTTGAATAACAGAAATATATTTTCTCAAGTTCTGGAGACTAGAGGTCCAAGGTGAAGGTTCTGGCAGCTTTTGTTACTCTTGAGATCTCACCTTGGCCTACAGATAGCCACATCTGTGCTGCCTATCTTTCCTCTGTGCGTGCATATCCCTAGTATCTCGTTGTGAGTCCAGATTTTCTCTTATAAGGACAACTGTTACATTGGATCACAGCCCACTCTAATGGCCTCATTTTAACTTCATCACTTCTTTATAGGCCCTATATTCAAATACAATCACATTCTGAGGTTATAGGGGTTAGAATTTTAACATAAAAATTTCAAAGGAACACAATTCTGTACCTAGTTCTAAAGGGAACAGGTTAAATCTTCTCAGCACTAAGCCTAAGCAACACCTTGCCTGGTACATTATAGCACCTCAGTGAATACCTATTTGAATAGTTATTGTCAATACCTGCTATGATTGAATGGTCCCTCCAAAGCGCATGTTGAAATTTAATAGCAGTGTCTGGAGGTAGGACCTTTAACAGGTTATCAAAAGGGCTTTCAGGAATGGACTTTTTTTCTTGCCTCTTCACGCATCCAGATATACACACCACCCTTTTGGGAGAACACAGCATGCAAGGCACCACCTGGCGACAGAGAATGACCTCAGTGGTTGCTGAAACTGCTGCTGCTTTATCCCCAGACTTCCCAACCTCTAGAACTATAAGCAATAAATTGGTATTCTTTATAAATTACTCAATCTCAGGTATTACATTATAACAACAACAACAAMAAAAAAAAAAAACAGGCTAAGATGGCACCATAAATGAAATTAAAACACAAAGAACAAATTGGAAAAAGTATAACATTTGATAAAGGATGATGTCCTGTATCTACTAATAATACTTATAAATCAATAAGCATGATCTCCTAATAAAGAAATGATACATTCTCTTTAAATACATTTTGCAAAAGTTGAAACAGAAATGAAAAACAAACAGAAGCATATTGAATCTGATATTAAACTTTTTAACACTCAGAGGAGTTAAAATTAAAATAAATTTTATGTTCTCAAAATGTGAGACTTGAAAAGAATCTGAGAAAAATGGACATTTTTACATCTTTGGTTAGAGTATAAATTGTCTAGACTTGTTTAGAGGATGATCTAGCATTGTTTCTCAACATTTGCCATCCCAAGAATGTATTCCTTCCTCCCCTGAATGCTGCAGCCCTTCTGGGCAGGCTGTCCTTTGTCATTTTGCACTCTACCCAGAGTGACCTTTCTGCATGCATAATTTCTTCAGAGAGCTTCATAAGATGTCCTCAATTATAGCACTTCTTGCATCCCTCATCTTTCCCCACATGGGTTTTATGTCCTAACAATCCCAGCCTATTCCCCACACCTTCTTGCCTTTTTGAACACCACACTTTCAGCATGGTATTCTCTGTCCCTAAAAGGACAGCCTTTCCTCCTTTGTTTGCTCTTACTTGTTCTTCAAGATTTTCTTTACTTCCCTCTGGCAGTCTTACCTGACTCCCCTGGTCTGAGTTACTTACATTTCATCTGTTCTGTAACACATTTTAACATGTGCAGTTGAGGTGTACTATACAATTTGAGAGTATGACAGCATCCTCCACAGGCTTTGTTTTCATTTTCAGATATGGAAAATAGCCTATGGATATTTGAGATCACAGGTGAGAAACACAGGTGAAAGGCAGAAAAACTATTGAGGGTAAATGAAAGATGGATGATATGTAGTAAAGAAAGCTTCTGGAAAAAGAATAGTATTTGAAGGGTTGAACTTCATAGAGTAGGAGGAGGGCCAGAGATGTAACTCAGAGTTACAGTGATTGCCTGTTCTGCTTAACACCCTTGGTTTGATTCCCTGCACAAATAAAATAAATAAAGTAGGAGGAAGGAAGTTCAGAGATAAATGACCTCATTACCTTACTTCTGTGGTAAAAGTTCCACTACCTTTAATACCTCCATGGTGAGGACTAAGCTTCCTATGAATTCTGGGGGGCACATTCAAACCTTATGCAAGTCATAGCAGATAGCTTCCTAGGAGTGGTAGCATGAGCTAAATATTGGGGAACATGTAGGAATTAATCAGGCAACTAAGGATTTCCAGGTAGGAAATAGCAATGCAAAGGCCTAAGAGGTCTGAAGGCTCCACAAATTCACTAAGGAAAATGACTGTTTCAGGTGCCATTGACTTGAGATATAGAAAGAAAGGTCAGGTGGGGACCAGGAGGAGGGCTGGAGATGGGAGTCCAATTTTGAATGTAGTCTTGGATGCTTGATCACATGTGAGAGGGGAGTTCATTGTAATGAATGAGATCCATAGAATAAGCTTGTAGGTAAGAGAAAACAGGACTAGGAATAGAGCTTTTCAAAATCAGCAATTAAAGTGATTAGAATGAAAGAGATTAGAGAAGGGAAATAAAAGTGATCCACTAGGTAGAGCAGAGTAATAAGGGTGACTAATAACAGTTTATACCTCTAAGATATACCAAATAAAACAGAATAAGTTTACTGACTATTGATTTTGACATTAGGAGACAGTCATTGGTGCTTTTTGGTTAGCATTTATTGAATCTCATTCTGTTGTTTTGTTGTTATTGTTTCTCATTCTAACTAGATGGGTACTGTCTATGATTGACTTGGGGGTGTGGCTGAGGAGTGAGATGAGAAGTACTTCACATATAAGGGAGTGAGTTGTCAGAGGAACCAGATTTGAGACTTCAAGGAAGTTCAGAGAATTTTTTCCTCATTCTGTTGGTTGCCTTATAGTAAAACCACTTAATATAGTAAACCAGACCCAGCCTCCAGAAGCATTTTTAATTTTATGTTTAAGGGTTTTGAAATGTTTCTAAGTGATATTAATAGGTTACAGCAGATTTTACCTCTTCTTTAAATTTTATTTCTTCTGATTTGTTATGTGACAGCAGAATGCAATTCAATTCATATTGCACAAACGGAGCACAATTTTTCACGTCTCTGGTTGTACACAAAGTAGAGTCACACCATTCATGTTTTCATACATGTACTTAGGGTAAACGAATTTTAAAATATTTGTTGATTGCATAGATCATGTGGTGTTAGCATAAATATTGTGAGCTATGGGTAGTAAAACTCTTGATTTGGAAATATATTTTAAACAATAGTTAATTTATTAATAAAACCATTCATTTATGTACAAAACAAACATATCTATTATCACAGTAAGTATAATATATTAATATACTTTCTGTGATAATAGATATGTTTGTTAATATATTGTACATCTATCTTGACTGTATGCTTTGAGAATTTTCTTTTAAAAAATATTTAATAAAGAAGTCTAATTAATCTCATGTGTGTGTGCTCCAGCAGTCTAAGGAAAAATTAATTGGAGGAAGAAGCATGTTTTTCTCTTGCTTAATATATAAAACATGGCTTTGTCTCATGAGTCAGGGTCTCAGTACTGTGGTAAGAAGTAAAATAAGAGACTGCTTAAAAATAATAGTGATAATATGAATACTTTAATACATCAGAAGCATTTTTATGAGGTGATCTTTATAATCACCTTTTTAAAAATAGTGTTATTGTATTTTTTATACTTTAATTTTATTTGTTTATATTTATGTGGTACAGAGGATCAAACTCAGTGCCTCATGCACCCTAGGCAAGGGTTCTACCACTGAGCTACAGCTTCAGCCTCCAGAAGCATTTTTAATTTTATGCTTAAAGTTTTCAAAATCTGTTTCTGAGTAGTATTAATAGGTTACAGCAGATTTTACCTCTTTTTTAAAATTTTACTTATTCTAATTTGTTATATAGACAGCAAAATGCAATTCAATTCATATAGAGCACAATTTTTCATGTCTCTGGTTGTATACAAAGTAGAGTCACACATTTGTGTTTTCATACATGTACTTAGAGAAATGATGTCTCATTCCACTATCTTTCCTATCCTCATGCCCCCTTCCTCACACTCCCTCCCCTTTGTCCTATCTAAAGTTCATCTATTCCTCCCATGCTGCCACCCATCCCCATTACAAATCAGCATCCTTATATCAGAGAAAAAATTCGGCATGTGGTTTTTGGGGATTGGCTTACTTCACTTAGCATTATATTCTCTAACTCCATTTATTTACCTGCAAATTCCAAGATTTTATTCTCTTAATGCTGGGTAATATTCCATTGTGTATATACACCACAGTTTCTTTATCCATTCATCAACAGAAGGGTATCTAGGTTGGTTCCACAATGTAGCTATTGTGAATTGAGATTTTACCTCTTTTACTATAATCATATTTAAATGCTAGGATGTGGTTTCTTTCAATCCTTCCAGTGGAAAAAACAAAAGGATAGTATTTCTATGTTTTTATCACTATAGCTATAAATTCTGGATATATCCATTATGGTAACCTATCCTTTAGGTTTGTATGGAATTTGTGGATGGAATGAGGATAAGAAGGGTCTCAATTATGAAATTTTATTCATTTGAAAATAACTATTTTGTAAGGGAGAAAAGCAAATACAACTTATTCTATAAGAAAAACAAAATTTGTTATCAGATATACTACTAGCTAGACCATCTACATGGATGCTTTATGTGGCAGTGGAATCCTAGAACAGCAGATATTGCTACCCTTTCAGTGAGGGATTGATCTAAACAGTTTTGTTTATTTATAGTTACAATTCTGCTTTCCTTTTTGTTTTTGTTTTCCAGCCGCTATCTAAATAAGGCTTTTTATATCTGGTCCAAAAAAGATAAATTCACATCCACTTTTATAAACAATATGATATCTCACACTGGCACAGAACATTCTGCACCAGCCTGGATGCTGCTTTCCAAAATTGCTTGCTCATCAACCAAGCTGGACTACACCAAAATAATACAGTCCTGGGAGAAAATCAGCAGGTTCGAATGTTTACAATGTAGACAGTGGTGGAAATTGAAGGTTCTTACAAACTCATGCATTAGGAAAGTGGGCTCTTTCATAATAATAACTTTTTGAATATAGAAATATTTTCTTTAAACCTTGGCATAAAACAAACAAAATGAAACTCACTTTTAAGCAGTTTACCTTCTCCCTAAGTTCAGTAAGTGCCTACAGGTAACTACAGCATGATCTTTTAAGCCATGTATCTACCTTACTTCCTCTAGTATTAATGATAGAAAAGAAAATATATTTAGATGACAGCACAATGGTTAATTTGGTTCTATCTTGGTATTTCCCCTACCCTTCCTCTAGTCAGCAGAATCCCAATTCAAATACCTTAGGACATATTCTGTGTGTCATTGGGCATATTGCTAAGCATCTTCCTACGAGCATCCGGGACAAGGTGATTGGTGAGTGTCTATTAGATAATCTTTCTTGTTGGTGCTATTAACTTCAATTTATTTAATTAATTAATTTATTTATTGTGTGTGTGTGTGTGTGTGTGTGTGTGTGTAAATTTTGTTTTTTTAACCAGTTTAACTTGTAGGATTTGGTTCTCCTTCTTAGATGTTGTCAAGTGTAAGCTGAATGGATTTCAGTGGTCCCTAGAGCTGATCAGTTCAGCTGTTGACACTTTGCAAAGACTTTGTAGAGCATCTGCAAAGACACCAGTGGAGGAACAGGTATGACGTTACACATTGCTCTGTTTTCAACTTATTTGTATTTGGACCTATTACTGTTTGTTTTGAAGTTCGAAGAGTGGCTCTATAAATATGGGACACTAAGGATGTGTAATCCCCAGTAGCTTTTGGTACAACAAAGCAGTGCTTATGTGACTAGCAGCTGACTTTCCCCAAGAACATAGACTAATCAAGACATGATTCTCTCCTTGGCTCCAGATACAAGTATCTTTTAGTAATACATGCTGTTGCTTAACATTTATTTCCTGATGAGAATTTTGCAAGATTATCTTGTTATAAGTTATAGAGTAGACTCTTATTTCAAGAACAAGTTATAGCATAGACTCTTATTTCAAGAACATTTAATGTATAGTTTTCTATCTCATCAGATAGTATCTTTTGGTAAGTTATAATCTTGGAAAATGAGTGTCCTGTTACTATAGGGTTACATTACTCAAATATTATTTGCTTTATCTTGTCGCTGAAGTTTCCTACAGCCTATACCTAATGGTGCATAGTCATAAATTCCAAATCAGTGATTTATGTAAGGTGGAGAGTTACTTTGACCCCTTAAAGGCATCCATATTAATATCTCTAATAAGAGACTGGGGATGTGGCTCAAATGGTAGCATGCTCACCTAGCATGTGAGGCACTGGGTTCAGTTCTCAGCATAACATAAAAATATTGTGTCCACCTAAAACTAAAAAATAAATATTTAAAAAAATCTCTAATAAATCATAAGCGTACCTTTTTTCTTTTTGGAACCCAGCACCTTCAGTATGCTAGGCAACTGCTCTTACCAATGAACTATGCCTCTAGCGCTGCTAAGTCTTCTGCTTTTATCATGAGGTATACTCCTAAACAGTGCTATTTGTAATAAAAACATTTAGAGATGAGGACTATTAATAATGATTATGAAAGTTATAAGTTAATTTAAATAATTTCTGAAGTGTATCTAAGTTTTTCAGAAAACTGCTTTCTTTATCTGAGCTACCTTCCTATGCTTTCTTTTCTTTCTTTTCTTGTATAAGGTCTTATGAGAAAGTCCATAATTAATGCTACATTTCCTACTTATAATAACAAATCTAATACACCAATGTACTGTGATATTTTTGCTTGTGACCTTAAAAGTGATTGGAATGCACTTAGCTTAAAAAAAAAAAATCTTGAGCTGTTTCTTATGTAAATAGTATCTGGTGTTTGTCTAGTGTCTGGCTTTCAACAATTATATTATTAAAAGGGATACTTGAATTATTATTTTTCTAACCTGTTATCTGAAAAACAAAGAAATTGTATGAAAAGCTTTTAAATAAGAAACATTGGAAAGAACACATTTGAATAGCATTTAAAAATGTAGTTGGTGCTTTGGTGTTTCTGGAAAGAATAAGGAGAGAATGATGAGGGGGAAATTATGGCAGATATGACTGTGATCCTGCAGTTTTCAGTGGCACACAGCTTACTGATGGTAGAGCTATGACTATAACTCATGTCTTTGATACTTTCCCAGTGTTTCTTTTACCAGTGCTAACTGAAAAATGAACTATCTGCACAGTGGGATATTGGGAGCTATAAAAAATCTTGAGGTCTTTGTCTCTTCATCAAGATAAAGCTCTTTTTGGTCAACATAGTGATCCAGATTGTCCAGTCTTATTAAAATCTTAGATGCAGTTCTTTTAAAGGTAGTAAAGATAATAGTTTTGAAACATTTGAGGCCAAGTCAAATTCAAAAGCATTTTATGCATAACAATGATTTTCCTGCAACTTTGCAAACATTGAGTACCATGTTGTGTTAGTTCTTCTATGTACTAGATGATGGTTAAAACAGAGTCTTTTCTTAAGTACCTATAGTGCAGTGGGAGAGACATATCCCAGACACATAATTTCAGTATAAAACAGTTACTTCCAAAATAAAAGTATACATCAAGTGACATGAAGTCCTGGGGTGGAGGCACTTAGTTCAGCCTTAGCTGTTCTCTAGGAACAGTCTCCCAGAGAAAATGAATTGTAGAATTCTTTCATGCTCTTAGCACCGAGTATGTACTAGCAGTGACCTCTGGAAGTATATGATATGTACTAGCAGTGACCTCTGGAGGTTATTATAAACAGAAAAGAACACAGAAAACTTGTTCCTAATTAATAAGTTTCAGAAGAATAGCAACTGTCCTTTTTGTGTATATCTTTAAAAGTGTGCACTATAGAAGTGTTCACTTAACAGTACTTAATTTGCCACCTGCATATGCTAGAAGAATTGTAATTGCTGTTAAAGATGTAATACAAATGAAGCCACTAGATATTCCCAAATATTTGCCTTTTGCTGTTGTAGGGAAAATGTAGAGAGAAACTTGATATATAGACTGTTCTTTGAAAATTTCACTTAGCCAATTCTCATGGCCAGATTGCTTAAATTGTGTCATTGTATTTTTGGATAAATCAGGGTAAAGATTGCACATGAACAATGGTTGGAGTTTTTCATGCATTTGAAGATCCTAGAGGCTACTCTGAGAACCCGGGGTTGGTGGGTTGTCTGGGAGATGAATGGGATCCTTTAGAGCTGATCTGTGACTTGCCACAGGAACTACTGAAGCAGGTGTGTGGGAATGTGCTCTCTACCTGCGAGTACCACCTCTCCAACATTGTTCTGAAGGAGGATGGGGCAGGGAACATGGATGAAGACCTGTTGGTAAGCAGCTGCTTTTCCTAACCATTCTTTCCTCTTCTTTTTTTTATCAGCAGGGATTTTTTTGAGGATGAATTTACATGTGTACTTCAGATACAATTAAAAAAGAAAAGGGCTGTTGTAGCCTAGAGCTTCACTCTTTTTCAAGAAGAAATATTTATGAATAATCCATCTATTTTTATCTCATATACTTAATATTTGGGGGGAAACTTGATGGAATACTTCATCCAGTTAAGAGTTTATGAGAAACCTGATTCCAATAGGAAAATCACAATGTGTGTTATAATTTTGGTAGAGTTCAACTTAGAAATAATAAGGTAAGAAAACAATAGCATATGCCTTAGTCTTTTGTTTATTTTCTTTTTAAAAGAATTATAACTTCTGAGCTATTTGAACATTGGAGTATAGAAATGGGGAAATAGGTTCTAGTCATTGAAAGAATGAACAAGGCTCACTATCGGAGAAAATGCCCGTTTTTTGAGGAACAGCTCTGCATATTTATAGAGCCAGTGGTGGTTTGACAGTTATGACAGTTTAACAGTTTGACAGTTGGCATGGGATGCTTTCTGATTAGGGGGTAAGGATCATGTGAGGCAGCAGGGCTAGTCTGATTGGTGGGTAAGGATCATGTGAGCCAGCAGGGCTCACCATTGGACAGCTCTTCTCGGGGGATGGGGAAGTTAGTCTTTGGAGCCGGGCGACTCCTAACAGTCCTTACAATGTCTAAAAATATAAGGAAAGATTTTACAAATGACCTTGGAGGAACAAGGTTGTATTTTGTGGTACTCCTACTTTAGAAACTGTTTCCATGAAAATGATTCCTGTGAGTCAGGACATGTCAAGCCAGTGGGCTGTTAACAAAATAGGTTTTGTTATAATTCTATTTCCAGCATCTGACGCTATCCAATAAAGGAAATGGTTTTTGATGCCCTTTGGTACAAACCATCATCTTTAACTATTTTTCCCATCTATTTAAATTAGAAGTGCATCTCTTTTCTGTGTTCAGTTTTTACTTTACTCATTTCACTCTTTTAAGTGTTAGTGATTATAGACCAAATTTAGATTTGTAAGAGAGAAAGCTGTTGTACCTGAGGCACTAGTACGTTTATGTTCATTAATGAACAGTATCATTACCGGGATTTGGACACCTAGGTATGTGAGCCATGATGTATAGTTCAGAGTTGACCCAGGATTTTAGATAGTCTTGCTTTTCTCAATTGTTTGAGCAGAGCCATTGCCTACAAGAAGAAAAATGCTTTTTATGATCAGTGAGTTAATCCCCTAAGATTTTTTCAACTATTAAATATATCACTAAAATCTATCCATTAGTCAAAACATAGAGTGAAGTTTTGTCCTATATACATTGTTTAATTCATACTTCTTTAAATGGAGCTTAATTATTTTTTAATCCACTAAGTTTAAGATAACTGTGTATTCGATATTCTCTAAAACCAACTACATTTACTATTGGTTTTCCTACCCTAGAATAAGCATTTTGAGGTTTTTTGTTTGTTTTGCTTTGTTTTGCTTTGATTCTTTGTTGTTGTTGTTCTAAGATGGGATCTTGCTATGTTGCCCAGACCAGTATCAACTCCTAGGCTCAAGTGATCCTCTAACCTCACCCAACCAAGTATCTAGGACTGTAGGTGTATGTGCCCCCACACTTATCTCTAGCATAAGCTTATATGTATTGTTTGTTTTTTCAGTGCTGGGAATGAAATCCAGGGCCTCATACATGGCTAGGCTAATGCTCTATCATTGAGCTACATCCCTAGCCCCTAGAATAAGCTTTTACTTTTATTTGCCATTTACTGTTTAGTGTTATTCTTCTATCTGTGGGGTAAAGAAAGAGAAGTGTTAATTTGACCTCTAAGATAAATGCCATTAGTAAACATAGGGTAGCAAGGGCTGAGGAAACAGGTCCCTGTGCTTTGGGGAGGAGTCTAGGCAGTAAACTTAGAGAACAATTTGGATATATATTTTAAAATGTAAAGTGGGTTTACGTACTGTTTCAGCCTGGATTCACACCTAAAGAAATACAGTAGTATACAAGAGTATAGAAGGGATTCATCATAACTCAAGTAAATAATAGTAAAGGGTTCGAAATAACATAAATTTTTACTAAATGTGGAAGAGTGAGAAAAATTATAACATTGATAATTTTTAAATGGCCTACTTGTATAGACATTAAGCATATTTTTGTATGTATTTACATTAAAGTATAGCTCATATTCAAAGTTATAATTACAAACTCCAAGTAGCATGATTGGTAAGTATATCAGAAAAGCAAACATAAAGCCATGTGATTTTGAAAAGAACAAAAACAATGATAATCTTTAGTGGGATTATAAATAGATGAGTGTTATACCTGTTATTGCAACATAATTATTAATAGTATCCCTGTTTACTCACAAAGTATCATTTTATATGATAAAATTATATGGTCACTCTAATTTTTGTTTCATTAAATATGACTAAATTTTTATAGTGGTCATGTGTTTTTCTGAAACAAAAAATAGTAAAGTTTGTGTAGTTGGGGAAAAAAAAGAATCCCACTGACATTGTTACTCTAACTAGTAAATTTTCTTTTTGCCTTATTTTTACTGCAAAACCAATTCTCTTTGTAGGTGAAGTACATTTTTACCTTGGGAGATATAGCCCAGCTATGTCCAGCCAGAGTGGAGAAACGAGTGTTCCTTCTGATTCAGTCCATTCTGGCTTCTTCTGCTGATGTGGATCACTGTAAGGCACTGAAATCATACTCTGTTTCATACTTTCTTAAGCCTGAGTAAACTGCTGAGGAACTGTCAATAAATGCTTTTAAACTTTCCTATAGTACCATCATCTCAAGGTACCAGTGATGCCCCAGCCATTCAGTCCCCCTCTCAGGTCATGCCTTCTGTGATTAGAGCACATGCCATCATCACTTTAGGTAAGAACAACATGTGGGGAAATGTAGCTTGTGTAGTCTGCTTATGTGTATAAAAAAGTGCTCACAGAGAGCCCTTGAGTTGGTAATTATCCAAGACTATAAGATTCAAAATACTCACTCTAGTAGACTTATGTTTTTCAGTGGAATTATGTGAATTTATTACAATTATAACTTCCTATAATTATTTAAACTCCTAATGTAGCACCATTAAATCTGCTTATCAAGAACTGCATTTAGTAAACTGCATTCTGGGAATAAAAAGATTAATTTGAAGTTCAGTTTATAAAAGGAGATGGTTTGTTTAATACTTTCCAAAACTGGCAGATGAACTATATGTATATTTTTCCATCAACTCCAATTGTTGTTTATCTTGAAAACAGTTCTGTGCTATAATTTGATATTTTTTTTCCTGTAGTATAATTGTATATCTTACGGTAGATATAAGATATTTGTTTTTTGTGGTATTGGTTATTGTTAAAGTCTAAGAATTGTTAATAAGAGCAGAACATTCCCTAGGCCGCAAAACAAACAAAACTCAGCAACCTTCCTGTAATTATGAAGAAGGAATATGAGTTGACATTTTTTCCTACTTACCTAGTTCACATTTCAAACTCATTAAGAGGTAAAATAAATCATCTGTTAAGATTTTACCCATCATTATCCAGGTGAGAAGATAACTACAAAATTCAAATGTTGACTTTATTAACGTAAAGAAACATTCCTTATCATGTACCTCATGAAACCCCTGTTGGAGCTTATTTTTCCTTAAAGTACTTTAAACTTTGTAATATTTGGGATGGATTTGTCTGGTTCTTGCTTTTGTTTTTTGTAATTGTGAGCATAATGTTTTAACTTTGATGAAATAAAAACTATAGAAAATGGCTGGGAGTGTAGGTTAGTGGTAGAGTGAGGCCAGGCCCTGGGTTCATTCCCTAGTATTGGGGAGTGGAAATCATAGAATATAGTCAAGACATATTTCTTCTGTGGCAGGTAAGCTGTGTTTACAGCATGAAGACCTTGCAAAGAAGAGTATCCCAGCCCTTGTGCGAGAACTAGAGGTGTCTGAAGATGTGGCTGTTCGAAACAATGTCATCATTGTGATGTGTGATCTTTGTATCCGGTACACTGTCATGGTAGACAAGTATATTCCTAATATCTCCATCTGCCTGAAGGATTCAGATCCATTTATCCGAAAGCAGACACTCATATTACTTACCAACCTTTTGCAGGTATGTATGAGAGTTATTAAACTGTCTTTTTTTCTCTCTAGTACTGTTCTGGCTTAAAGGAATATTAAATTACATAGGAAATATGATAGCTTTGTAGTACAATTCAAAAATAATTAACCTCATCTCAGGTTTAGAATGTCACTTTTCTAATGTACAGTGCAGCCTTTTAAATACATTGTTAGTTATTTGCAAATATTTGTTTGGGGTGTTCTTTTAGACACCCTGTCAAGCAGTGTAAAATTTCACTTTTGCAAATAAACAGCAGGTAGAGAAAAGCATATTTGTTAGAAAAATAGTTCCAGTTCTGTTATTCTTCTCAACCTTAAACAAGTCCATGTTTCTCATACTTATTGTTTGGTAAAACAAGGATCATAAAATTTGTGCTAGCTATCACATAGTGTTGCTTAGAGTCCAATGTGATATTTCAGCATGTAAAAGAACTTAATGAATTGCAAACCTCTAAAGAGTATTTGATTTTCTTGTATACATGTGTTTGACCTTTGACAAGGAAAAAGTGATATTTGATTTTGAAAAAGAAGGCATTTCACTAAGTTGTATGTAGTTTGGTATACTTAACATGCTCATTTTTTTCATGCATTCTGTACCTCACAGAGGCAATAGTGGCTACACCCCATTAAAACCATGTACTTTGAGTCATTTTCCTAAAATAGTAGAAAGTTTGATGCTGCTCTATCCACATATTCCTCCACATTTCTTTGAATTAACAAATGTTGTATAATTTCAAGATGGTTGTGAAGTGAATACTCTGAATGCCCCTATGTCCTAGACAGACCAATAATAGCTGGCAGATGTGATGTTATACAAAGGAAAGTCAACAGGTGGCTATGTGATTGGATGCATTTAAGGTTTACATGTTAAAATTTATCCTGAAATATGCTGGTTTCTCTTTGTACAGGAAGAATTTGTGAAATGGAAGGGCTCTCTGTTCTTTCGATTTGTCAGCACTCTGATAGATTCTCACCCAGATATTGCCAGGTAAATCTTTCCTTCGCATGTCAGACAGTTGAACAGTTTACCTAATTTCTGGTATGCCTTAGATTTCTTTTCTTCCAAATTGGCTTAGAGTTGAGTTATTTAGGATTTAGTGAGCTCTTGGTAGTTATCAGGAAAAAAATGGTAGATTTTTAAAATACTGAACTATATAACAGATCTTTGTTAAAACAAAAATAAAACAAGCCAAAAATAAAACAAACTAAATGTGTTCAGACTCACCACKAAATAATTTCAGCATTGACTTCCTTTTCTAACATCATTTGCTCTCCTTGAATACTAAAGAACATTACATGCCTTTGTCACATTAAAATAGGATAGAAGCCATCAACTTTTGACTTAACTGTTGATTTCTAAGCCCCTCCCCCCAAAAAATGTTAGTTTTAATAAAGAATTTGGACTTTGTTTTCAGTGCAGAAACTGTAAGAATTCTAGGAATTAAGACAATTTCACAATGTAAAATAGAGTGTACAAATTACAAGATTCCTTAGAAATGGTTAAATTGTTAAAAGGAAGATAATTTTATTAATGTAAAGAAACATTCCATAGCATGTACCTCATGAAACACCTGTTGGAGTTTAATTAAAGATTCCTTAGTTTATTTAAAATTTATTTAAAGATTCCTTAGAAATGGATGCTTCTTGAGAATTGGAAAGGAGTGGGGAGTTAACTTTGCCAATTGTTAATTCTTATACTTGAATCATTTTAAAAATTTATTTTCAAGGGGTCGAGAAGTGAGCTTGATAGAATTTGCTACCCTAGCTTGTTGTATGTATAATTCTTTTTAAAGCTAGTCTATAATTGAAAAGTAGGGTGTTGAATGCCATGGCAAAAGCCACCACATTGGGGAAAAGATCTTTGTAGAATTCATTAACTAAAAATAGCTTAAAATAATGGGTTCCTCTGTTCTAAATATAGACACCAATAATTTAGTCTGAGTTCCACAGAAGAATTTCTGCTCCCTTTTAAAGCTTTGGGTGTAATTTTCAAAGGGGGAACATTTAACATAACAAAGTAGCAGAAGGTTAACCGTCTAATTAATACTGTCTAGAGCCAGAAGCAAAAAACTAGGGCTATCAGTTTTTTTTTTTTCTTTTTCATTGTTATTATAATTGAAAAAGGAATGAAATAGCTATGCCACTCCTTCCCACCTTTTTAATGCTTCCCAACACTGATTTGAGTGGCTGTCTTTGTACAGTGCAGTGCACAGCCCAGGGGCAGACATAATTAGAAGTGTTGTAATGCTCTTAGATGATGAGTCTGGGAGGTAAGACTGATTGATTAACTTGTATTTCCTTGTTTTCCCCCATTTTTGCCAGTTTTTATATGTGCATGTAAAAAAAAAAAAAAGGTGATAGATACGTTTTACCTGATTTAAACATTATATAATATATACATGCATTGCAACATTACATGGTACCCAGTAAATAGATACAATTTTTATGTTTTTAGGTAATGGTTAAAAATAAATGTGTATTAAAATGCCGCAGTCTGGCTGGGCACAATTCAGGAGCTACTTGTCAAAAGAAACAAACTTTATTTTTAAAACTACAAACGCCAAACAAAACAGCTCCTCAGGAAAAACCCTCAGAGCCCAACTGCCACCACGGGCTTCC